TATACAGGGTGAGTCAGTTTTTTGTAGACAAACTTTAACAGGAGATAGAACACATGTTTTTAAAAAGAAAAGTTCCTATAAACATATGTCGTAGAAGGCTTCGTTTCCGAGATACAGGGTGTTGAATATATTTTTTTTTCTCGAATTTTCATTATAACTTATAAACGAATGCTTAGATTTTTTTCATGTTTGGGGGATAATGCCTATTAATTAAGGGGCATAAAACAAGCGATAAGAATGTTCAAAAACTTGCAAAGTGGCGGAGTGGAGGGGGTGCTCAACCCCTTTCTTAAACAGAACTTCTACGCAATGACTATTTTTTAAAAAAACTGTTATTTTCATTTTCTACATACAGTTTTAAAATAATGCCCCTTCTTCTGTTTCGAAATTCCTGAGGGTTTCCGAGTTACTTTGATTTTTAGTGTTTGATGTGGTACTAAATTAAGTAATTTATTTATTATCAATTATCGGCTAAATATTTAATTCTTTCAACGAAACCTACCTAAATATGGTTTGTTAAGGGTTCTAAAAAGCCGAAATCTCTTATTCTTTATCTCTTTCCAACGTAGTAAAAATAAATATTTGTTATATCAAGCCATACTCAAATACAAGACTTTTATAAGTTGAAATCTATTACATTATATATATACAATACCCCAAATGTCGGCAAACACGCGGGTGAACAAAATTTTGAAAAATTGTATCATCAATTATATCAAATTATTTTATTAATTAAAACCGAATCAATTTTTGTCCGTTCACTTTTTATTACATTTGCCGCCATGTCGGTCGACGACTGCATATTTTGTCTTGCGCAAGGTTATGTTTTACAGTCAACCAGTTTCCTGTGCCGTGCAGAAATGTGCTTTTAAATCATTTTTTTGTCTTCAATTGTGTACATTAAAAAAATTTTATATAGGAAGTTCTATAATTGCATTCAAAGATCATTATGGAAGTTTTTGAGATTTTTTAATTTAGAATTTAACACCCAAATAAAGGAAAATACTCACCAATACACACCCTAGGACCCTCACCGAAAGGCAAGTGAGTGAACTGGTTCATATCCCTCCTGTTCTCATCGCTGAACCTCTCCGGATCAAACTCTTTCGGATTCCTCCAGTATTCTTCATCGTAATGTAAACCTCTTATGGGTATGCTCAGTCTGGTGCCTTTCTCTATGATCAAATCCTCACCAGATACCTTATAGTCTTTGACGCATACCCGTCGTAGAGTCCTCACTGGTGCATGAATCCTCAGAGTCTCTGAAATCAGGGCCTTAGTAAGAAATAACTGAGATGGAATCAAACTATTTGTCTGCGGGTGTGCACTTTATACCGAGCGAACCAAAATAATTGAAGCCGAGGTCACACGTAAATATTAGGTACCAGATATTAAAATTTACTTCCATTTGATCAAAATTACTTTCCTTTTTCTTAGATTTCCGATCGACACGATCTGTCAATTGTGTGTGTTTACTGTTGTATTTATTTGTGTTCGCCGATTGTTCTTACTTGAATTTATCGTTAGTCTTCTAAATAATTAGTTTTAGGTTAGAGAATAGTCTTTTCGCGAGAAGACGATAAATTTATTGTAGAGGCTTACTTTCGGAGTGGTAAACGAGATGAAAATGAATAGAAATATTCAAGCCATTCATGTTTTTTGCAATCCCAGGAAGAGTTTCCAAATCATGAAGCCGCAGATTATAACATTTTTGCTCAGCATGTTCGATATTTGGTACACGATTCGGAAATACTGGCAGTGTTTGTAAAGGGTAGTCACGTGGAAGAAAACCAATTTTAACGGAAAGTAAACTGGAGGATGTTTGAGAGCGTTTATGCCTCATGACATTTACGACAATTTTCAGCTCAAGCGAGTAAATATTTATAAAATGTTAAATATCAGTATTTAAAATTATTAATTACAGGAATGTTATATGGTTCAGTATACACAGTTTAAGGAAGTTACATTTACATCGATATTATTGTGAATTACTTTATACTTTTTGATTTTATTATGAGCGCCTTTATACCTTTTATTTGTGTTGTTATTTGATATTAGGGACTCTTGTTTTTACTTTATACAAATTCACCTCGTGTCAATTTGTTGTTGTTGTATTACTTGCTTGTTGAGACTGCTGAATGTATTTTCTGGCTAATGTCACTTCCACTAATGTACCATTCTGACTTTTGACTGTCAAATTTAGCTACGAAAATTAATCACCAAGATGTCTGCGTGAGTGTACTGATTTTTACTGATAATAACAGCTAGCACTTGTTTTTTAGGAGCAGAACTTACGATATTGCTGCTACAGGTAAACATGGGAGACTGGCTGCCTCGAGCCCGGATATTGGTTTTATAGAATGTGCAAAACAATTGAAATTTACTATGACAACATAACAATCATAATTTTGGAATTTTATTTTTGCAAATACTGACATTTTAATGGACTTGTGATGCTTGAACTTTTAATTTTCAGATTCTTTGCATTTTTCTGCGTCTTTTGACACTAATTACACCTTTCTAGGTTAAGTTGAACGTTACGTCAAAATGTTACATATTTTTACAAAATTCACTTTAATTTTGATACATGTACTAATTTTCAGCATGTCTGTCCTTTATATGCCTTTAGTACTGTCTATTAGACACCTTTTACACAGTCTTTATTCGTTTTTTCAGATATAAACGAAAGAAAGTTTTTGAGCACACCGCTCAGACAAGCATTTTACAGTCTACACAACAAATTGACCTTTGGTTGGAGTTTAAACACATTATGTGGAATGATGAGGGTCTCTTACATACTGCACATATGATTTTGCAGTCTAGATGCATTTTTACACTAACAAATTTACAAGATTTTAACGGAACAATAACTATCAAGATTTATATGCTACATAAAATGTTTTCACCGAAGTATAGGTTTAATTCCACATATATACTCTACTTCCAGGAACACTATGCTTCATTTACATATCCGTTTTATTGCATGAATCGAAAATATATGTGAAATACCTTCATCTAACGTCAACGTCTTGTCAAAATTTCACTATAATGATTAAATGTCCTCATGCCAGAACTTATATTTGACTTTTAACATTGTAACATTGTTCTTTAATGTTCTGTGCAACATAATTGTACAACATGAGTGCATTTACATAATTTATTGAATATGAAAATTCAAATTTAGTTATAACTTTGACAGCTTTGACGTTTTCTCGTGAAATTTCAATCATTTACAAATTTTATTACTTATATTATCGATATACATTCTTCATTTAAGTATATTATAGTAGTAAATATCCTGCTATTGACTATTTTAAATACAGGGTAACCCATCGAAAACGTACCGCAAGGCATTACAGGGTAGTAATGAACTTTTCAGCAAAATCCAAAAACAGGTAAAGTTTGCTTCTGAGGGGGACAACTTTTGGCGCAAAAAGCATAGCAAAATCTTCAACCCCCTAAGTGGGGGTGCCATCCCCCAAATTTTTTTAAATGGGAATGGGGGTCAAGTGGGGGGTCATTAGAAAGGGCTTTTAATTCTCTATACATCGATTCTTACTTTTTGAAAATCGATCCATTATTTTAGAAAATATGCAGCTTTGAAAATACGAACAATATTTTTGACGAGAAATGCGAAAATCGATTTAATTTTACTTCAAAACTTACGGTATTAGCTTGGTAAATTCCTTCAAAAGAATTCGCCTTTTTTTTTTCTGATTTGCGAATTCTTTAGCCTGATTTTGGTGAGCAAAAAATTGTCCGCTTTTTGTTTCGTATTTAGATAGGCCACAAGAAGTTGCTAGATAACTGTCTTGTGACTTGTAGTTGAAGAGTACCAATACTGCCGAGTCTTTTAAATTGATTAATTATGGTGTACTCAATTCCAGAAAGAGTAGAAATTATTGAGCTTTTTTTCAAAAACAATGAATGCGGAAATCGGGTCGCCGAACTGTTCAACCAACGGCATCCTGAGAAACATGCGTCTGGAAAAATTGTTCGCGAATTGGTGGCCAAATTTCGCGAAACTGGCTCCGTTCATAACAAAAAGAGGCAGGTTGAAAATCCGGTACTAAATGAACCTACGGAAATAGCGGTATTGGGGCAAGTGGCAATGGATAGTACGCTGAGTACAATGCAATTGGCTACTGCGACAGGAGTGAGTCGTACAAGTGTCCAACGAATATTAAAAAAATACAAATTCCATCCTTATAAGATTCGGCTAGTGCAAGAGCTAAATGAAGACGATTTTGATCGTCGTTTGCAATTTTGCGAAATAATGACTGAACGAGCGATAAACGATAATTTCCTCTTTAATGTGTGTTTTTCGGACGAGTGTACGTTCTTCTTGAATGGTTTAGTGAATCGCCATAATTGTCGTTACTGGGCTGATACCAATCCAAGGATTTTCCATGAGACACACTCCCAACACCCCCAGAAGTTGAATGTATGGGCAGGTATTTTTGGAAATTCCATTGTAGGTCCTTTTTTCCTTCCTGGAAATTTGACAGGCGATATGTACTTGGATTTACTACAAAATGTCATCGACCCAGCTCTAACAAATATCATAGAGGACGACCCTGCTTACAATGAACACGAACTGATTTTCCAGCAAGACGGAGCTCCTCCACATTACTCGCTCAATGTGCGCAATTACCTAAATGAGACGTTTCCAGGACGCTGGATAGGACGAAGAGGTGCAATTGAGTGGCCCCCTCGGTCACCCGACTTAAATCCTTTAGATTTCTTTCTCTGGGGGCACATTAAAAGCAAAGTTTACAGCACTCCACCTGATACCTTGGAAGATCTGCGAGGACGAATCATTAATGTATGTCGCGAAGTAACACCGCAAGTGCTCCAGAATGTTCGACAACGGTTTGAAGACAACCTGTATCATTGTATGCAAGTTGGCGGACAACATTTTCAGCATTTACTTGACTAATACCGTAAGTTTTGAAGTAAAATTAAATCGATTTTCGCATTTCTCGTCAAAAATATTGTTCGTATTTTCAAAGCTGCATATTTTCTAAAATAATGAATCGATTTTCAAAAAGTAAGAATCGATGTATAGAGAATTAAAAGCCCTTTCTAATAACCCCCTACTTGACCCCCATTCCCATTTGAAAAAATTTAGGGGATAGCACCCCACTTAGGGGGTTGAAGATTTTGGTATGCTTTTTAAGCCAAAAGTTGTCCCCCTCAGAAACAAATTTGACCTGTTTTTGGATTTTGTCGAAATGTTCTTTACTACCCTGTAATGCCTTGCGGTACGTTTTCGATGGGCTACCCTGTATATCTCATATCAGACTTTACATTAATTCGATACGTTTTTGTATCCGTACCGATAAATTTATATTCAAAATTTCTAAATCAATAAAACATAACAATATATGGTTTCCATGGTGGAAGAATTCTTATTGCAATTAGATAATGAAAATGCTATTGTACCTGGTTTAACAACAACTTAAACGATGACAATCATTTAGATATAACGAGGAAAATAAACGTAAATTAACTTAAAAATTGTTGCTTTTATGTCAGTTTTGAAGTTAACAATAAAATACCTAAAACATTTTTATTCAATCCATTCCTTTAACAAATTAATAAACCCCTCAAATTAATTAGTGCCAACATTATGCTTTTTGGGCTGCATTTTTGTGATTAAAACGAAATGTGACCCTATTGCCACTACATTTAACCCGCCACTGAACGAAGTAAATCACTATCAGTGTTGCCAACTACGAAAAGTGAAAATAATGAGAGAGAGGCACACAAATGTTTGTAAGTAGCGGTACCATCGATCATTCTGGATCTCTCTGTATAAATATTCACGCTGCCAATATCCAAATCGATTAGTTCGCAATAACACACGTTTCTAATAGAGAGATCAGTTTATGGTTCTTAAAATTGAATTATGATACTAATAGCCACGCCTAAGAAGTTAAAATGGTCTGTCTCACAAGGAATATTACCACATGTCACTACTGGCAGAGTTATGTTTTAGTGCCAGGTACCATGATACGTACCATTTATAACCTGTCCCATATATTTCATCTCACTCAGCGAATCGTAGGTGACCTTGCCGTCGTGTCTGGCCAAAACTTTATTGATTTCATCTCTGAGTTTCTCCTGGGCGTCTGGATGAGTGGCCAACTCGAATAAGGCGAAGGTCATGGTGGTGGAGCTGGTTTCGAAGCCTGCTACGAAGAATACGAAACTCTGAGCGATCATTTCGTCCATTGTCAAAGTCGTGCCGTCGCCCGGAACTAAAATATCAATACCTATGGTATAAATAAAATTGAAAATAAGCAACTTAATATTTATCACTAAATTTTTAATTTCTTCTAAAACTGCATAAATTTGTATCCAACATCAACTAAACAGTGAAAATTATTATTATTTTTAATTAATTGTAGATGTTTAAAATTATACAAGGTGTGGTGTGTATAATCTATAAAAATTAAACTACATATCCCTGATGATATTTGTAATAGAAAATCTTAAAAAGTCTTATAGAAAAAGTTCTATCTTAGCGTTTTTTTAGTAAATTAAAGTTCATTTATTCAACGAAAAAGAAGGCCGACCCTGTGTTATTTATTAAAAACTTTGGAATTGTTTTTATGCGACCCGAGATGCAACCTTACAATTTAAGTCGGTATAATCTAATACTAGTAATACTAAAAGAAGGTTAGGTTACATTGTCAAAAAATGTGTGCAGTCAACTGATTTTTTATTTGTATTGAATTCATTATTCATTTAATTATTAAATATTAAGCATCGTCCATGACCCATCAGTGTTAAAAAGTGAAAGATTCCAGACAAAAGTTTTTATCCTGTAATTCCACGATAATGACAATGTAATTTTTATAAAGAAGTAAAAAATAAGAATATCGTACATTAAAAACGAGATAACGTGTCGATATGGTGTTGGTGTATGGTGCAGCCGGAGAAAATGCGCTATCGGCGACTAGGTTGTACCGAGAACGATGGCCACAACGTCCCATGTGCAAATACAGTCATACAGTGCGTTCAGGGACTGCGAGATACAATTAGTACTCGACGACTCACACAGCAGTAGGAACCTCTCTCGTACCGTATATTGTATTTTAAGGCCCCAGCTATTGCGCCCCTATCATCTGCAACCAGTTCAACAGATTTTACCCCCGGATTGTGATCAACGAATGCGTTTTTGCAGATGGTTTTTACGGCAATGTGCGAATCAAGTAGAGTTTCCTACTTATGTTTGTGTAACCGATGAAGCGACATTTACCCTTGATGAAGTGAATTTCCATAATATGCACATATGGGCCGATGAAAATCCTCACGGGATTAGAGAAATTCATTTTCAACATCGGTTCTCGGTAAATGTTTGGGCTGGCATAATAGGCGATGTACTACCAACATGACTTTTTGGAGAACCGGTTGCCTGAATTATTGTACGATGTGGCATTACAAGTTCGGGCCCGAATGTTTTATCTTCAAGATAGGGCTCCTCCACACAGTACTCGAGAAGTAACGACACCTTTGAATGAAATGTTTCCTCAGCAATGGATTGAACGCTTTGGGCCTGTGCCGTGGCCACCTCGGTCACCCGATCTAACTCCAATGGACTTTTATCTTTTTAGTCACTTGAAGTCATTGATTTACAATACTCCAATTGCTACGGTGGAAGAATTGCGAAACCGTATACTTTTCCAAAATTGGGTGCGTCGGTGTCATGCCTGTATCCGTGCTAATGGGGATCAATTTCAACATTTTCTCTAGAAAGAGTAAGTTTTATTTCATTTTGTTTAATATTTTAATGGAGTTTATTAGTGCACGCAGGTGGCATGCTTACGGATGTGGTTTTCTTATAAAGATTCAGTTTGCAAATTTTTAGCGAATTTTACCCCCACTACTCCACCTTTTCCCTTCCCCCTTCCCTTCCCCGCCCAGCCAATCAGAACACAACATTTGGCGGGGGAAAAAATGATGGGAAATTCAAATGTAGCCACCTAGGGCTTTGCCCCTTAGAGCCCCCATATAGGTATCCCCACGTACGCGATTAAGGATAACCGTCACGTAATTAAGGATAACCGTCACGTGAAAAAAGGATGATAAAGGATAACCGTCACATAATTAAGGATAACCGTCACGTGAAAAAGGATAATAATTACGTGACGGTTATCCTTTATTATCCGTTTTTCACGTGACGGTTATCCTTTTATTATTCTTTTCGGCGTGACGGTTATCCTTAATTACGTGACGGTTGTCCTTAATCGGCTACGTGGGAGATCCTGCATACCTACGTGGGGATACCTACATGGGGGCCCTAGGGGGCAAATCCCTAGGTGGCTACATTTGATTTTCCCGGCAAATGCTGTGCTCTGATTGGATGAGCGGGGAAGGGGAGGGGGAAGGGAAAAGGTGGAGGAGTGGGGGTAAAATTCGTCAAAAATTTGCAAACTGAACCTTCATAAGAAAAAGCATGGGATTTTGGCGTAGAATGAACATAGCCAATCTACATACCACTATGGTCATTCTCCTGCCCATCCTTTTTATCCCTGATCTCCATAAGCAACTGCATGAAGTCCTTCCTAACTACGTTGTTCTTCTCGCGATACGACACGGTGTCCTTCACCACGCCGCTGAAGAACTCCGCGATGTCTGTGGGCACTTGGCGCACCCCCAAGAACCGCGCTAGGTCGGGAAAATTCTGATAGAACATCGTCCTGACGATTGTTAGCTTAGAGATGATGAAAACCTTATTTCCGTAGCGTCTGAAGGTGGAGTTTGGCTCCTTGAAGCTGTTACAGTCGAGGCCAAAAGCGCAGGATCCTATGACGTCGGTCGAGAAACAAGCTGAAAACAAAAGGCAAACGACAATTCTATCTAACTATACGAAGTGTTCCGTTAAGAATGTGACAGTTTCTAGCGTGGTAAAGTGCGATTAATGAAAGGAACCTTTGCACTGAAGTCGTGACCCGACCGTTTTTAATTTACCTGTTTCTATGTTTTTACTAACTTTTATTTCGACCCTTCAGGAAGTTATGAACAATTGAATATTTTGGGTGAAAAAAATTCAAATTCCTGTAATTTGGCAAAAAACTATAGATATAAACTTTTTTCATTTTTTTCGATATGAGATGTAGTTTTATAATAAAAATGACATGAAAATAATAAATTTTTAGTTTTTGGAGTTTTTTTATTTTTAAACCAAAAAAATGCTTTTTGATTGGCGTTTTTTTCTTCAAAAAATTCTCAAAAAAAATTGTCCTTCAATATGTAAATTGATGAGACAGTTTCTAAAAAGGGATTTTTTTTGGATTAAGAAAAATTGTATTTTCATTTTTTTATTGAGAATGTACGTATGTGATTTTTTGATAAATTCTGTCTTATGTTTAGGACAAACTGCATAAGCGGTTCTTGTATCACAATCGGATGTTGACTAAGTTCTTGCTGTCTTCTTGAGAAAATTAATGCTCTATTTAAAAAAAATAGTAAGAAACATGTCACTGAAATGTCCATCGCTAGCTACTACTTTTTTCCATTTTTCTGGTAGCATTTTAATTTAACGTCCGAAAAACGACACATTTTTTGAGGCTATCCAATAGTCGACCCAGTTTTTGGTCTTTGTAAAAAATGGATGAATATTCAAGTATTTCTTATCAGAAGAACCCATTCAACTGACAGGGAGATTTTCGGGAAAACCGATTTTCAACAAGTATACCTTTTTATGTAGAATTGTTCACGGAATCTAAAAATTAATCCCAAATGATTATTAGGTCATTGGCGTAGAAGTTGGGGTAAAAAAATCACGCTTTACTACCAATTCCTACGTCACTGATCTACAAAAATTTATAAATTTTACAATAAATTATGCACATGTGCAAATGTTAACACCACACCAAATTTGAATCAATTTGTTATAAGTATATCAAAGATTTTCTAATAATCTGATTTTAAAAAGCGACCAATACTGCCCTGTACACTGAAAACGGTGACACTTAGACCTTTGTCTTATAAGGCAATTCTGAATTATTCCGTTTGTGGTTAAAGTTTGATTCACCCGAACTGAAACACCCCGATACAGTTGCAAACTCGCTTCGACATTGTCGAGGAAAACTCGGGAAGCGAAGCCACATTTCTCGTAAAAAATTGTACCTTTACACATTTCATGCATATTTAACAGTGACAACAAGCGTTAAAGAACATTCTTTGGATAGTGCAAAAACTCTTTTCTTCAACAGCATTTTCTCTTCCTTTCTCTATAGCAATCAAAATTAGGGTGTTCTCAAAGTTGAGTCATTTATTTAAAGAGCTGGTAGAACTCGTAAAAAAAATCGATTTACCGAAAATCGTTTATATAAACTTGTCTAATAAAGCAATTATTAACAATTATTTAAAAAAATTGAAATTTAAAAACTTTATAATACAAACCTGATTTATTATCATTTTCGACCACTGCGTTGTAAAAGCATAAATTGTTTGTTTACTAACATGGACCTAGTGCTCGTTGTTGGGTCATTTTCGACAATTTCTTCCTCGATCTCCACCATTTCGCGTGTAAGTCTTCTAGCGCGACCTCCTCGTTGTTCCTTTAAATACCTTGTGTCACGGAGTCTTATAACTAAAGGACCCCGCACAAAATAAATGGATACTGGGTCCTGTTAGATTTGGTTGGAACTGTGATATGTTATAGTTCTCGACATTCTGATCAAAAGTTGTCACAGGCCCAAAGTGATCCTATGGATAGTTTCAGAGATATAGAGGGGGAAAGTGTGATTTTGGCTGTAGGACTGAGTAAGCTTCACGAAGTTTCAAGTTGATGGATTCAAAAACTGAGGCATGTAATGAATTTTGACCAGTAGGTACAAAGCTTTTGGGATTGCTGAACCTGCGATCCCAAAAGCATTGGATAGCTTAGCTATCTAAGGTCACCTGGAGGTCAGGTAAAGGTCGTTTCAGGGCAAACTGAAGAAAAGACTTGTATTGAATTTTGACCAGTGAGTGTATAGATTTTTGGGCTCGCAGAATCTGAATCTGGAGATAGCGTAACCCTAAAGGTCACCTTCAAGTCAATTCAAGGTCAATTCAAGATGAAACTAAAGAAAAGGCTTGTATTGAATTAAACCAGTGCGTATACTCGTATAAGTTTTTTTTGGGGGAGAACTGAATTTGGGGATAGCTTATCCCCACAAGGTCACATTTAGGTCAAGTCAAGATCATTTCAAGGTCAAAGTAAAGAAAAGGCTTTTCACTGGAAATACAAAACAAAGACATACCCAGTATCAGTAGTAAACAAACAATTCATGTTTTTACAACGCAATGGTCGAAATTAACACTTATAAAGTTTTCAAATTTCAATTTTTTTAAATAATTGTTAATAATTGCTTTATTTCACAACCTTTATATAAACGATTTTTGGTAAATCGACTTTTTTTACGAGTTCTACCAGCTGTTAAAATAAATGATTCAACTTTGAGAACACCCTGTATAAAAGTAATGACAAAAAAATGCATTACTCTTTTCTGTAACATTTTTACGTACCTAGAAGCTCCTTAATGTCGACGGCTTCGTCCGGTTTAATTTTACTCTCGATATAGTTCTCGAGAACCAAACCGCAGTCCACCAAAGTCTGGAACATCGCCTTCAACTTGCCAGAGGTGAATGTCGGCGACAATTTGGCCCTTAGATTCCTCCACCTGGAACCGGTGAGGTTGAACAGGTGACAACCTGCAAGAACGGTTGTTTACCACAGAACAAACAAATTCATTTAGTAGAGATCTGTCATACCGACGGGATCGTCCTTTTCGTTCGTGTAAGTTCCTCTGTCCATGAAGTACTGGAAATCCTTCGTTAGGATGTTCTTTATCATCTCCAGATCCAGTACCAATAAGTTAGGGGACAGCGAAATATACATTCCACAGTATTTCCAACCTAGCAAGAACAGATGTTAAAATATATAAAAACTCATAATACCAATCCACCAAACATTCAAACAACAAAACTCCAGCACTAGAACTGAACGACAGCAAGCTGGCAATGGTTACTTCCACAGGGGTGTATGTTTGTCAATTACAGGAAACCCATCGGAAATCTGATTAGCTTCAAATGTAAATGACTCTGTTGTTATAAAACTTTTATCAAAGATACATTTAGATTGCACTTTTTAATCCTCTAGTGATTGTCGTCTTTGCTGTTGCATTTACACACCTTTCACTTTCGCCTTTTTGTACATCTGGGCCATGCTTTCATCCACATTCTCTTTCAGCGGACTGCCCAAGTTACCGAAGGGTATGGTGGGTTCAATGTAAGGCACATTCCTCTTCTTCCAGTACTGAAAGCACCACTTGGTATAAGCGTAAGCTACGGCCAACAAGGCCGTCGTTATGCCTAGTAAGTTCCACAGAGTTGATGCTTGGAGAAACATCGCACTGGAAATAGAATTAAGGGAGAAATGTAAAATTATTTCTTGTGCGGCGCTTGAACAAGGCATCATTGTACCGATTTCTTTTGGCAGGCTATACTAACCCTAGCATATTGGTTTCTTATTAATTTTTTTAATACAAAAGTTGCAGACATCGATTTATGACAATTAAAGTAATTACAGGGTGAATCAGTCATAATGTCATTAATTTTAACCACGTATTCGGAAGGCCTAATAAAGACAGAATGTCGGAAAAAAAATTTTTACTCGACTTTTAAAAATGAAGGAAATCAACCCATAACTCCGGCTAGGAGGGCCGCCCTGCCAGATGCCAGGATGCTCCGAAAATTTTGTAACCTAATATCACGAATCAGTCGTTCAGCTGAAACGAAAAGCGTTGCTAAGTTCAAGCTTTAGAACCAGCTGATTTCCCCGATCGTCTTGAATTTTGCAATTGGTTCCTAAATCGAAGTGCAGCAGAACCTAACTTTATTAACAAAGTGCTCTGGACGGATGAATGCTGTTTTACTCGTGCTGGCATTTTAAACAGATAAAAAACATATTACTTTTTCAAAAACAATAAGTACCTACCTAGGTTACACCAAAGTGTATAATAATAAATTGAACATGATCCTGAAACTGTGTATTATTTAACATAATAAATTATAAATCGTGAAAACGTTATTAATATTAAAAATTATAAATTGTAATAACCGTACATTCGAAAACAATTATCCCTAATCATTTGTTGTTTTAGCATCAACATTAATGAATAAATAACAATTGTTATCACAATATTTAAGGTAAAGTATCTATTTATCATGTATCGAGACAAAAATGTTTGTACATATGTACTACAGGCGTAGGCTGAGGCGCTCTCTGATTTACGACCAAACTCGCCAGGTTAGTATTTGACGTATAACCGACCACTTCGTACACTCGATGCACATGGGCGACTACAGCTACTGCCAGAACACAGTGCGTATGCAGCGGCATTTCAGATTTTACATTCAATTTCATTTTAAATTTGAAATGGTTCATCTTACGCCTCCTAAAAATGATGACACGATTTTCCTTTAATAAAAGACCGGCAACTTTTTGCTCTGCATCGAATACGATCCTACTACAGTCATATAGCGCACGTGCAAGATAAAAAGTGGGTTGGAAGGTTGGTGACCTAGACACAGGTTAGCCTAGGTCGGAAACACGTGCCGAGTTGTTTATTTGTCTCCGTCGGATTGTTTTTTTTATGAAATATACAAGTCTCTCTTCTATTACTTACAGTCAATATTTAAATACTACATACATTTCACCTTCTCTTTATAATTTATCTAGTGAGTGTTGCTTTTTTATGTCATTATTTCTGTAATGAAACTGAAATGGTTATGAAATGAAATTTAAATTATTTGAACTCTTGGAGTTTTGTATAATAAATTTTATTTAAAGTGAAACAGAGCTAATTTCTTTGCAGTCATAATAGTCACATTTGGTCAGACGAAAACCCGCACACTATTCGTCGGTTTAGCTTTCAGAGGAGATTCGGTCTTTCGATTTTTCTGTACGACTCAGCATTTTCGAGTAAAAAAACCCTTTTAACGCACACAATGTAAATGGAATTTCATTTTTTATGTTAATGAAACTGTAACATGAAAAATAACAGATTTAATTAGTGATGTACTACAACAACAAAATAAAATAAAAATATAAGTTAAAGAAATTGCTCGAAATGTAGTCCATCCACCTCAATACATTTTGGTTTGGCTTTGTGTAACTAATGAATTTATTCTTCTTCATTCTTCATTTGGATTTCGCCGCATATCATTGCAGGCTTGCTGAATCCTTAAAACTAAATCATCTCTTAATAATGTAGTAGCGTAAACTTTGTCTTTTACATTTCCCCAAACGTAAAAGTCCAGTGGATTAAGATCCGGTGACCTGGGTGGCCAGGTCACTGCTCCAATACCATTAACCACGTCATGATTCATGTCTCATGTCATTCCTCCCTAGCCGGCCAATCCAACGTTGCGGATAATTAGTATTTAGCCATTCTCTTAGAGCTATTCCAAAATGCGGTACAGCCATCCCATCCAGTTGCGTGCAATTTTCATGTCTTAAGTTAACGGGTATATCCTCGATATAGTCCTGCAGCTTATTAGTAAGAAATTCAAGAAATAGTTCCGAGTTTAACCTTTGGAGTAGAAAATGTGGACCACATTACGGATGTCAAGAACTCCCATATAAATATTTACAGAAAATTCATTTTGAAATGATTGTGACCGAATTTCTCGAGGATTTTCATGTGCCCAAACATGGATCTTATGGTGGTTCGTTATTCCACGTCTACTGAATGAGGATTCATCCGCCCACAGAATTTTGTGGAAAAAGTCAGGATTTTCTTCCGTCGAGTTTAAAAGCCACTGGCAAAACCTCATTCGCTTTTCATCATCCCCAGGGTGTAAATCCTGAACGGACTGTAGGTGATATGCATGCCTGAGGTCATTTGTAGTTGCTGAGCTGCCCTGCGAGACCTGAGCTTCGGATTGTCATCAAAAGTACGAAGAATACGATTCCGATTGTTATTGCTACGGTTCATTATTAACACGCAGGCCAAAGATACTAAACTTTTGGTGGGTTTCAATGAAGATACGAGCATCTGGTATTCTTCTATTTGGAGAACGTCTCCAATATTCATGTACCGCCGCTTCCTCATTTCCACCACAAAACTGCCGCTTCCTTATTTCCATCACAAAATCCGTAACAAAAATTAATATCTGCGTATTCTTCGTTACTAAAAAGCACTCTTCAGGCTAACGCTAAATAACGATAACAATAACAATAATCACAAGTCAAAGAGAGCTAACTAAATGTGACATAGTTACTAATTAATTTGACAGATAAATTTATTATTTTGTCGTAGTTGCTCAATTGTTTTCCAGAGATCACTTTGAAGTCACTGAGTCGTACAGAAAAATCAAAAGAGAGCTGGTTTCTTCCAAATTNTAAACACTTTTTGTTCTTGAGAAAACACCATTTTAAACGCTTTTTAAAACGAAAATATTCAAATTGATAGCGGCGATATAGCGCTTTGACAGATGACGTTTAAGTTCATTTGCTATACGCTACGCCCTACGTCCAAATTTTCAGAACGTACTTGACCACGTTTTTATTTGAACGCTCGTTAGTAGCATAAACTTTGTTTTTTACATTTCCCCAAACGTAAAAGTCCAGTGGATTAAGATCCGGTGACCTGGGTGGCCAGGTCACTGCTCCAATACCATTAACCACGTCATGATTCATGTCTCATGTCATTCCTCCCTAGCCGGCCAATCCAACGTTGCGGATAATTAGTATTTAGCCATTCTCTTAGAGCTATTCCAAAATGCGGTACAGCCATCCCATCCAGTTGCGTGCAATTTTCATGTCTTAAGTTAACGGGTATATCCTCGATATACTCCTGCAGGTTATTAGTAAGAAATTCAAGAAATAGTTCCGAGTTTAACCTTTGGAGTAGAAAATGTGGACCACATTACGGATATCAAGAACTCCCATATAAATATTTACAGAAAATTCATTTTGAAATGATTGTGGCCGAATTTCTCGAGGATTTTCATGTGCCCAAACATGGATCTTATGGTGGTTCGTTATTCCACGTCTACTGAATGAGGATTCATCCGCCCACAGAATTTTGTGCAAAAAGTCGGGATTTTCTTCCGTCGAATTTAAAAGCCACTGGCAAAACCTCATTCGCTTTTCATCATCCCCAAGGTGTAAATCCTGGTGTAGGTGATATGCATGCCTGAGGTCATTTGCTGAGCTGAGTTGCTGAGCTGCTCTGCGAGACCTGAGCCTCGGATTGTCATCAAAAGTACGAAGAATACGATTCCGATTGTTATTGCTACGGTTCATTATTAACACGCAGGCCAAAGAAACTAAACTTTTGGTGGGTTTCAATGAAGATACGAGCATCTGGTATTCTTCTATTTGGAGAACGTCTCCAATATTCATGTACCGCCGCTTCCTCATTTCCACCACAAAACTGCCGCTTCCTTATTTCCATCACAAAATCCGTAACAAAAATTAATATCTGCGTATTCTTCGTTACTAAAAAGCACTCTTCAGGCTAACGCTAAATAACGATAACAATAACAATAATCACAAGTCAAAGAGAGCTAACTAAATGTGACATAGTTACTAATTAATTTGACAGATAAATTTATTATTTTGTCGTAGTTGCTCAATTGTTTTCCAGAGATCACTTTGAAGTCACTGAGTCGTACAGAAAAATCAAAAGAGAGCTGGTTTCTTCCAAATTGAATGAATAATCCAAAACTGATTTTTATTTTATGAACAATTTTTTCTTTGGAAATCTCAAGTAACGGAACCTTATAAAGATTTCTATAATTTATATATTTATATTTTCTTATGTTGAGATATGCTGAAATATCAAAACAAAAATAAGGTGGTCCGGAATTTTGATAATGTGTCAAGGTCAAAGTTTATAACCTAATTATTTAGCAATCTTGTATAAAACCGCTTGAGTTGTTAAAAGATGAAGTACGTTACTAGATTTTGCGCAATAACATCTACAAGAAAAAGTGTCATATGTTTTAGAAAAATGTCCTGTTGTAGCCGGTACAAGAGTCATCACCATCAGCTATCAAAATATTGACCTTTTGCCTACAACTAAGCATGCGATACTCCAGCACGACATTGAAAATGTAATACACTGTCCGTATGTGATTATCGTTTATTTAGTTTCAACAAATCTGATTTAAAACCATTTTTTAATTAATCTATTAAGTGGATAGATACAACTATCATTTTCAAGTCAAGTTCAAAGCAAGTTTTAAAAATAAAAACGAAATTTACCTCGTCAAACAACGGCTGACACTAACACTGATTAATCTAATAAGCTATGATGCAGTTGAAAATTTTTTTTTAATGTAATCTGTAAGACGACACAGGTTCACTTTATACGTATATGTGATCAAATTGTTAAGCACTTATTAAGTATAATATATAATTTGCAGATTGCATGATTTACGAGGGTATTTCGAAAAGTAACAGCTCATTGACAATATTTGGTGACAGTCAAAGTAGCGCAATCAGTAGACCATACAATCAGTGATTTTGGACAAAAATACTAGTAGCAAACGGATTATGCCATCATATAAAAAATAGTTTGTAGATATATGCCTATATGTTTCCTACTTCAATTTACCTTAATTAATTTTTTAATGTTTTGCTTATAAAACCTAAAAAAAAATTTCAACTGCAAATCTGAAAACTAGACACTTGAAGCTTCATTTTCTTTATTTTTTTATTCTCTCTACGACCATTTCCCTCCAAGTTACAGCACTTTGAAAATTTGAAAATTTCTGTGCCATTTTCAGCTACTTTCTACGTTTTTTTTTTGCAAAATCTGTGGATGGATACAGCTAATCGACTTCAGACTCGAATTCAGTGTGTCAAAATGCATAAGAAATACGCTTGATCGAGGTTAGAAAAAAATTTATCGAATTTTTTGGGCTGACACGTGATTTTTGTCGATTTTTCGCTGTTTTCGGTGATTTTTCGCTATTATTTTGCGATTTTTGCACTAGAGCTTTGGATTCAACACATAAAAATACATATGATACCCACTTAATCAAGTTCGGAAAATTTTTTTTCGCGTTTTCGTCGATTTTTCACTGTTTTTGCCAATTGCTCAAAATTATGGTGGTGCGCCTCAGTATATTAAATTGGCTGTTAGTTTTTGAAATACCCTCGTACGTAAAGGCTATGGAATTTAATGAATACTATAAATATATTGACAGTCGAAAATATTTACCAAAAACTCCAAATCATTTGATAAAAATACATGCTGTGTCATTTATCAACAAACTTCTCAATGGGCGAATGGCGTTATTGTCGGCATCTCTCAAGTGTTAAAAAAATTGCTGTGTTGCCTTAGATAACTTTAGATTTTTAATAACAAACCCATTATTGACGATAAACTTTTTTTCTAAGTTGTATTTGTTTTACATAATCACTGAATTTACTCAACATTTTTTTAATCAACATTTCAAAACAACAGTGAAATCTATTATTTAACAAACATTTTTATTACGTATTCAAAAGATAATTCAAACAAATTCAAAAAAATTTGTTTTTATAATAATTATCTAAAATAAAAACTAATACCGATATATCTAAATATAATTATAAAAAACCACATACCTTTGGCACATTGAAATTGTTGAATAATGAAATCAAAGAAATATCTTGTGTTCTTGCTGTCCTATTATCACTGTTGACAAAGACTAATCACGTAAAAAAACTCCTGCTACAAAGAGATCTTTTTGTTCGCACATTTTACTTGGGTTTGTTTCATCAATTAAAAATATAAATAGAACACATATAAACTTTAAAATTGTGAAAAAATTGGATGACATTTTAAAAGGACAATGTCACAATTGTATAAGTCAATTCTGCAAAAATTTTGTTTTGTTGATAATGTCAAATGGTGTGCACTAAAACAATCACGTGCTTTCTATAACTGTTAAATTTGACACTATTTGCAAAAAAATACTGAAAATGGCATTACTTCTCCAAACTTCAGAAAACATCGGGAGGAAGAATAATTTATTTCCAAAAATCCAACTTATTTCGACTCCTTATCCTTTTGTCGTAAATTTCATGTCCCGCCGCTGGATACGGTAATGTAACATCAAACAAACAGCGCGTGCCACAGTTTGCATTGTTGCCAGGTAGATGTTACAACTAATCAGTCGGCAAGAATACCCTTTCTATGATTTATAGTAAGATTGCACAGTTTTTGAAACTAGAACAACCTGAAACATATACAGGTCATCCATTCCGAAGAACATCGGTAACGTTACTGGCTAATACAGGACTTGATATATTAGCTATCAAGAGACATGGTGAGTGAAAATTAGCCATAATTGCAGAAAGTTATGTTGCTGACAGTTTAAGTAACAAAGATTAAATTCAACTCCAGGTTGTCATAGTACGTCGCATCATGCTGTTTTAATGGATCAGTCAGATAATATTGAACCTCCGGTGACTGAAATGGAGCAGTCAAATCATTTTGAGAAAAACGTGACAATGAGTAAACGCGAGGAGAATAATTATCCAGATTTTATAAATGTTACTAAATGTAATAACCGTACAATTACTATAAATATTCATTCATAATAATTAATAAAATATTTCTATTTAATTGTTCATAAAATAAGCAAACAATATTTTTTCGAAATCTGCAATAAAATAAGATAACAATTTAATTTATATTTGAAAAACTATAAAAATTGGTTGTTTGAAAATAGTGTTTAGATTATATACACTACTGGAAAAAATTAAGTGGCCAAAAAAAAAATCTAAATTTTCGGCGATTTTTCAAATGGCTGTATCTTTGATAAAAATGGTCGTATTGGAATTCTTAAAACGTTTTTTCCGAATTTACAGAACAATAAAACAGTTTTTTTCAAACCACCTTTTTTTCAGTAGAAAAAAAGTTTGAATAATTTTTTTTTATAATTTCAAACGCTTTCTGCAATAAGAATGTCAAAAAAAAAATTAGGAAGAAAATGTTTTTTTCATTTTTTACGAATTATGAGCATTTAAAGGCAAACAAACGTGATCCTTTAATTTTTTAAAAAATTCAATCGAATGAAACAAAAAAAAAAACGGTTTGAAGGATCGAATTGAAACTCTGTAGGGATTTTAGGGGTACTAATATGACATGTAAAAGGCACAGTTAACATTAGTCATTTTCCCAATATTCTCAATGTGGCACGTGATTTTCTAGAAGACCCCTAAAAGTCCTATTTTTTACGATTCTACAGTCATGTTAAGGATAAAAATTTTTCTAAAAAACCGTGTCAGGACCTTGTAGAGAATTCATTCAAGTTTCTGAAACCCACCGTCGATTTTCTGTGCAACTATTGGTTTCTGAGATATCGATGATCAAAGAGAAAATGATCCATTTTCATTCAAAGTCCGCTAGCTCAGCGAGAAATGGTCGTATCGAGACCAAAAAACAAAAAGAAATTGAAGCTAAATGAACAACCTATCTAATCCATAAGGCGGTTAAGTTGGAAAAATTTTTCCAACTTTTCAAGTCCGTACACCAAAAATAAAAAAAATTTCGAAAAATTTTTTTTCATGATATTCATTAAGATTGCGCGACACGTGTTATATGAAAAAAATTTTTTTTGCAAGATCCAAAAATTAGACTTCAAAGATTCAAGCTAGATTCAAGCTTCAAATTGCTTTTTTTTACTCCAATACGACCATTTTTATCAAAGATTTGGCCATTTGAAAAATCGCCGAAAATTTAGATTTTTTTTGACCCCTTAATTTTTTCCATTAGTGTATTATAATTAATATTCTAAGAGAGTTTAATTCAAAATGAGCTCGGAAAGTGGGGCCAGTAGCATTTACCAGGGGAAGTGTTGGAAGTGGTATATTCCATGTTAAAAAGTACACTGAATGCCAAAAAAATGTAAATTTCCAAAACTGAAATATTGAAAAAGTAAATCGGTTGGATACCGTCCGAAAAAGTTCAGAGTTCTAACGAAAAAGGAAATTGAGAGATTATTACAAGAAGTACCTGATGATAGATTGTTGCTAGAAAAGGCAATTAAAATTAATAGATTTAACTAATTTTGGACAACTTTTCAGGTCATTTTAATAATAATTGGTGTTTGTAAAGCTTTGAGAAGATAGGAGCTACTAAAGATAACGATCAATGATATAGTAGATAAATATTATTACATCTAGCTATGCTAAGAAATGTGAAAAATTAATTTTTTTGGTGTTTTTTCTCATACTTCTTCGTCTATTTTTGCTATTTTTGACCTATTTTTTTAGGTTAGAAAAAAATGTGAGGTGTTAGCGCAATTCTGACAGTGGATTCGGTGCTTCAAAATACTATAAGATAGTAGTTTGGTCAAAACCATATGAAACATTTTTTTGTGTGGCTGTGTCGCAAGTAATTTGCGTTGTATTTCTAGACATTTTCTATGTTAGTTTATAATTTGCCACATATATAGCTTGGTCTGCTAGATACACCTACTTCCCGACCAATGTCGCGAGTACTGCGCTTCGGATCTTCCTCAGTGAGGTTTATGATGTTTTCTTCGTTGTCGAAAACATAAAACTTGACTTATTTCAAGAATTTTAAGAACTTTCCACTCTGTATTTAATACAGTTTCTAATTAAATGCATATTGTACCTTCTGCTGGTTGTCCTATCGGATTTAATCCTGAAGTAAAGCTGGTAATTTTTTCAGGAGAAACGAATCAAAACAATTTCCTGCGTTCGTTGGACTGAATATCAGCTGTTGGCCAATTTAGAAGGACCTTCCGGTATTGCCATTGATAAGATCCATCGTCGGCCTCCAAAAAAGTGACATTCAAGAGCGGTTAAGACAAAACAATATTTATTACGAGAATACATTTTTGAAAATAAGGCTTAGTATGATGAGATGTATATGAGATAGCTTGGTGTAAAGGTGCTTTGAACATATTTTTTGTAGCTGACACGCTAGGATCAATTGCTAGATCTCCCATACTATTGCATTTTTAACCTCACTTGCCACGTTTGGGGTATATCTAGAAACTACTACAGAGGTCAAGAGACAGTGGCAGTAGCTGTACTGAAGAATCGTTGGCAATGTAGAAAGAGGTTCTTAGAAAAGCCACACCCCAAGTATGGTATGAAAGCTATTCTTCCTTTAGTTATAAACAGAATATAGTCTCCAGTCTCTAGTGTCTAGTCTAGTCTCTAGTTTCTATAGTCTCTAGTCTCTAGTCTCTAGTCTCTAGTCTCTATAGTCTCTAGTAAACTGGTTATTTATTATTGGATATTGATTTATTTAATTTCATTCTTAATAAAAGATCATTAATATAAGAAACGTATTTAAGTTACAAATTGAAAATAACTACACCCTTTCCAAATTGAGCCAGATGCCCCCCACAGCAGAATTAACATTGTTTTTGGCAGATGTCTTTAGAGGTAGTGTGGTTTTCTTATTCAGTTTCACCCTGAAATTCCTCAACAGACAGGTCAGACCTACCCTCACTTGCATCAGACCGAACTTTTCACCTGAAAAAGAAGTCTGGTTGAATTCGATTCCACTTATAAAAAATGGTTACGTTTATAATAACGACTTAAATCTAAACAATCGATTTAGGCAATTATAGGCTGTCGGTTCAGTATCTTCTTATTTTGTATTTAAAGCAACACGAGAATTTTGCACTTGTTCAAAACAGTGAAAATTTTCAGCTTCTGTTGGATCAGATGTTGACGAAGGAGCAAAAATTCGTAGTGAAGGTAAAAAATTGATGGAAGTGAAAAGTATGTGAAGGGCAAAAACTGGTAGGAAGAACAGAAGCAAAACTGATCGGAAATGTATTAGAACTCTCCAGACTTTGATCGGAACTTTTCGGTCATTAATTAGTCCAATTAACTAAGCCTTTAAATCGAAATTTTGCCAACTTGGCTGAATTTTTGATATGAGTTAGTTTAAGGTATATTATAACAATAAGTGAGAGTAATTTTTTGTTCAACCCCCGGCCAAGGGTGGAAAAAGATAAAACAAAGGGCTTTTTCAAGATAACTCAAAAAGGGTAAGAGCTAGAAAAAAAAGTTTTTCATGAAAGTTGTAAAGCAGACAATTCTACATAAAAATGGCCTCTTAACTTTTTCTTGTACTATTACAATTAACAGAGTTAGGGAGGCTAGAAGTTAAGGGAAGATTTCAGAAATTTAAAAAAAATCATAACAAACAGAAAAATGATTGAATTTTGTAATTTTTTTTTTCAATCTGCTCTAAAATATGTAACTTTTCTTTTCAGAGAAATAGATATATTTTTTAATTTTTAATAAGAAAGTTATAACAAAAAATCAAATTTTTAATCGTTAATTTTAATGATTTAACAAAATTAAATTTCTGAAATCTTCCCTTAACTTCTAGCCTCCCTAACTCTGTTAATTTTAATAGTACAAGAAAAAGCTAAGAGACCATTTTTATGTAGAATTGTCTGCTTTACAACTTTCATGAAATTTTTTTTCTAGCTCTTACCCTTTTTGAGTTATCTTGAAAAAGCCCTTTGTTATATCTTTTTCCACCCTTGGCCGGGGGTTGAACAAAAAATTACTCTCACTTATTGTTATAATATACTTTAAACTACCTCATATCAAAAATTCAGCCAAGTTGACAAAATTTCGATTTAAAGGCTTAGTTAATTGGACTAAATTGGCAAGGTGAAGCAAAAATAGGCGAGGTTATGAAACAGTTGTAGGAGTGAACCAAACTGGTGGGGGTAACAATGATTTCGAACTCTCCAACTTACTCTACTTCTGTTTGAGAATTCTCTTTGGATATGCTAAGATGAAACTGTTCTCTAGTCTTTTATTACTACAATACCACCCAAATAGTGGTGAGTACTCACCAATACACATCCTAGGACCCTGGCCAAAAGGCAAGTAGGTGCACTGGTTCATGTTCTTCTTCCTCTCATCGCTGAACCTATCTGGATCAAACTCTTTCGGATTCTTCCAGTATTCTTCATCGTTTTGTATGCTTTTTACGGATATAACCAGTTTGGTGCCTTTTTCTATGACCAAATCTTCGCCAGGTACATTATAGTCGCTATTACAGTAACGGATTAGAGTGGATGTCGGTGGATGAATCCTCAGGGTCTCTGAAATCATGATCTTGGTGAGAAATATTTCAGATAAATATGGTTCTTAAAACTAAACTGATAAAAGCATGTGCGTTTGATTTTTATTAAAAGTGTGATCATTTAACAAGTTAAAGGTTTTGTTAAATTTTATAGTAGTGCAGGTTATGAACGACGAAAAGGCATGTAAAATAAAAATTTGAAAACTGGTGACAAATAAAAAAGAGATGCATATTTTGTAAGTAAAAAAGGATACACATTGGGAAAGTTTGTTCAGAGCACAAGGTTGAATTTAATTTTGACAAAGATTTGGACATAAAATACATCACTGGACTTTTGATGTCAAAATTTTCAAAATCTCAACACAGCATGTAATAACCAAAATTCTCATATCAGAAAGATTATACAATACACCGTTTCAGTAAAGATTACGTTGGTATTCTATAGTAAATCTAAAATAATTTAAGCAAAACAACTTTTACTACCAGTAACGTAAGTTATGAAAATATTTAGTAAAGGAAAGGAATTTAGAGAGATAGTTACAAAATTTGTGAAAAAGTAGTTATAAGGGCAGTATTTTTGTAAGAAAAATAGTTGTACAAGGGGTAGTACATCAATACAAACTTTCAAAAATGGAGAAAAAGGAACCATTATTACAATTAAAGACTGTTTATCTGCTCCCACTATAGTAAATAAACTATTTATACATTGTTTTTAAAGACGAGATTTTCCCGTAGAAGTGGAAGTAGAATCAACACTTGTATCGTGTATACTATCAAATTCAGACATGGCTAGGCAATCAACTGAACCCAGAAGACTGGGGTTGGAAATTAACAGATAATACTTTGGAACCGACTCAAACTTTACTTCCACCTGCTCTGGAAAAACTCCTTAACACTATTTTTTGCAATTGCAAAAAAGGTTGTAGTGCTAAATGTGGCTGTAGAAGAGTAGGGTTGCTGTGTTCTCCAGCGTGTACTAATTGCCAAAGCCAGTCTTGCTCAAATGTCCGATTGAATACAACAGACGAAGGTTCATGTGATTTCGATGAAGAGACAGCTGATTCATCTTCATTTGAACAATTTATAAACATCCAGCAAGAAGAAGAGGAAGAAGAATAAGAAGAATAATAATAAGAAGAAATCGAAGAAGACATGACTGTTGTCGACTTTGAAGAGTATAAATCAGATTAAAATATCAAAAGAAATCAGAACTACAGTTAAAGTCAATAACTATTATCAATATCAATAATCATCATACAGTTAAAAGAGTATTGTCCCTGAAAATTCCGTCATAACAGTTCGTGGAGTAGGCCTACCGGGGAAACCACGTTAAAAAAAACGCGTCAAAGTACACTACCTCACAGGTGGTGTGGAAATGTGTGCATAACATGTAGAAAGTGACTCCTTCAACAATTAGAATCGCGATATCTCAGGAATGGTGATTCTTAAAGAAAAAAGCATAAGGACCATTTTTGTAGATAATTTTTGTCAGAGATACTTTTTTTGATGAAACACCGTTTTCTAAAAAAATCCAAAAACCTCAAATTTTGACCTTTGACCGCGAGCACACATGGGATCGGTGGGGACTTTTGACACTTTATTTCTAGGTCTCCACCAAAATTTAGCTCTGTCGGTATTTTCGTTATTTAAAATGTCTATTTTGACCGGGCTATTAGAAACGACAAAATCCAAACAGCCAAAACGACTGCAAGATTTCGAGTAATGTCAAAATTAATTGATTAACAAATGTCAAAAAATAAAACCTAATATTTATTTCATGAACCATAAAGAATTGTGGGAGCAGATAAAATGTTATAGACCACGAAGCAGTTAAGTATAATTTACCACTCTCGGACTCTATTGCCAGCCCTCGCTCCGCTCGGGCGCAAAATCGTCCTCGATTGGTAAATAATATTTAACTACTTTGTGGTGTAAATAACTATTGGTGTAAACTTACAGTTTGTGACAAAATATTTTCATGGAACATGAAATTTCCAGTCCTTGACACTCATTTGTTTGGCATAAGTCTATTTAAGAATTGACGGAAATTCCCAGTCAGTCGAGTTTGAGCCACGTGAAAACAAACGTCTCTCTAAAATAAAAACAAAAAAAATTAACTTGATTATATTGTTGAATAGAAATAGTAAAACATCAATGTAGTGAAGTGAACCAAGGGGAAAATAAAAAACAAACAACTTTTAGCTGAGATTGCAACCCAAAGAAAGTTCAAATCAAAAATAAGTTGTTAAGAGATTTAGTAAGAAAAAACTTGGAGAAGCTCCCAGTCAGCTGTCAAAAATCAAACATGATCACTTGGTCAATTCCCACTACATTCTGGACGAAAATTTGGTCATCTGGAATACAAAGTGCAAACCAGGTTCACAGATGACGCGAACAAATTCCAGAGGAAATCAAGACACTAAGTGGCTCAAAGAAGAGTGCAAGGAAATAAGAGGAACTCAATCTAAAGACTAGTAACAATGATTTAAATAAGAATAAGATTCACTTACTTGGGGCAACAAAATATCGACCTAGTTCACTAAAGAAAACAAGTTATTTGTTTGCTGAAGAAGAGCTGTTTACTTGGGATTATTATTGTGTTGACTAACCTGGGATTTCATCAAATGTTTGTTTGCTAAGTAATTAATTCACTTGGCACCTATTTCATTCAGATATTTCGCTACTATTAACAAATCTTTACTAATTTTATCAAGACAGTCTTTGTGTGTAATAAATCATTGTCGTAAATACTAGAGCCTCTGTACTTACCATCTACAACCTGTCCCAGGTACTTCATCTCACTCAGCGAATCGTAGGTGACCTCGTCCTCGTGGCCAGCCAAAACTGTATTGATTTCATCCCTGAGTTTCTCCTGGATGTCGGGATGCATGGCCAACTCGAACAGGGCGAAGGTCATAGTGGCGGAGCTGGTTTCATAGCTTGCTATGAAGAATAAGATACTCTGAGCGATAATTTCGTCCATTGTTAAAGAGTTACCATCGTCTGGAACTAGAAAATCACACACAGGATGGGTAAATGCGGTCGGGAATGATAAATAGAGGCGACAGTGACAAAAACAATCCTCCAGAAACGTAGTGAATTGATGAAACTAAATAATCCTTACGTACTGATAAAGATTGTTCAAAATTTGCAATGTTTTTATAAACAAAGAATGAAAACTATTTGAACAGATGTACATAAGACGTGTTTGGGTGTATTTTTTTACGACGTCTTGTTACTGTCTGTTTTGTTCGAGCTTTTTATAATGAACTGCTCCAGTGGTGGTACTACTTCACAATACTAGATCTTGCCTCTGGATTTCACCAAATAGAAATGTCATCACATAATAAAAAACAGCCTTCAACACCATTGTGAGTTTACGAGGATGCCGTTTGGATTAAAAAATGTTCCTAGTACAGGGTATCAAAGGGTGTTAAATAAAATTTGGGACACATGGTGTTACTTGGGATGAGACAAGCTCCATTTTCAATTGAAACTATTATCTTTGGGATTTGACAGAAACGACTAATGACGTCATCAATTATATCTTTTCCACATTGCAAATCTGAAAACAATATTCCATTCATTAAGGAAAGCCAATTTGACAATATAGCTAGATAAAACAGAATTTTCAAAAAGGAATGGCGAATTTCCTGGGTTCGGATTCTTTGAATATTCTAATAAATATATAAAATGTCGGATTCTACTGATTCAAGCTTACCCCTGTGGACATTTTTCTGCCTTTCTTTTGTATTCCTGATATCCAGAAGCAACTGAAGAAAATCCCTCCTAACAATTTTGTGTTTTTCGCGATATGAGACTGTTTCCTTCACCATGCCGCTGAAGAAGTCTGTGATGTCTCTCGAAACTTGGCGTATCCCCAAAACCCGCGCCAGCTCGGGAAAATTCTGACAGAACATCTTCTTGACGAGGGTCAGCGGAGTGATGGTCAAAATTCGGTTTCCGAAACGTCTGAAGACTGAGTTCGGCTCCTCGAAGCTGTTACAGTCGAGGCCGAAAGCGCAGGACCCTATGACGTCGGTGGAGAAGCAAGCTGAAAACAGAAGGCAAACGATAATTCTATCTAACTATACAAAGTGTTCCGTTTTTGTTTTTTACCGCATTATTACATACCTAGAAGCTCCTTGATGTCTACAGGATCTTCTGGTTTAGTTTTTTCCTCAATGTAGTACTCGAGAATTAAACCACAATCCATCAGAGTCTGGAACATCGCCTTCAACTTGTCAGACGAAAAAGACAGTGTCAGTTTGGCTCTAAGATTCTTCCATCTGGAGCCGGCGAGACAGAACAGGTTGTGACCTGCAAGAATGGTTGCTTATTAATAACAAATAAATGTTTTTAGCGGAGGTCTGTCTTACTAAGAAGGTCGTCTTTCTCGTTCGCGTAAATTCCCCTATCCATGAAGTACTGGAAATCCTTCTTTAGAATGTTTTGTACCATCTCCAGATCCAGTACCAACAAGTTAGGGGACAGCAACATATACAATCCACAATATTTCCAACCTAACAAGAACGGATGTGTCACATACATGCAAAAACTATACTGAACTATTATAAATTAACCCTTATTCAGCCACTCTTAATCAAATTATAACATCATCAATATGATGCCTTTTTTACTAAAACAATGTACTAAGGTTACAACAATTAGTAGTCTTGGGTTATCCAGTTTATTTGTTAGTACGATGATTCTACAGAGTGTGTCAGAAAAAATGAAATAAGAAAATGTTTAATGAAACTTCTTTAATGTACACATTTTTTTCTTACTTGATAAGCCACAATAACAGTTCCTTCACTTAATTTTTACACGGAAGTGCCAATCGCGCAGTGTTGGTTGCCTATGCTCGACTGTCACGTGGTTCATAAGCAATTATGAAGGTTCACTAATTCGTGTTGTGGAATTACATACCTCTGTCTTTCGCCTTTTTGTATATCTCAGCAATGCTTTCATCCACATGCTCTGTCAGTGGGTTGGTCAAGTTTCCGAAGGGTATTGTGGGTGAAATTTGGGGCACATTCCTCTTCTTCCAGTACTGATAGGACCATTTGAAATATGTATAAACTACGGCAAACAGGGCGGTCACTATGCCTAGTAAGTTCCACAGAATTGATGTTTGGAAAAACATTGTACTGAAAAAGGTAAAAATATCTCTTTGTACAGGGTGAGTCAACGATTGGTTAAAGTAGATTTACTCAGAATTGCTAAAGTTTATCAAAAAACTATTTCTACAGGGTGATAAGTACGCTAACAGGGCACATTTTAAAAATATTTTAAAATATACAGGGTGCTCCAAAAATTTGTGACAGACCAAACTTACATTTTTTTAAATGGAACACCCTGTATTTTACAACATTTTTAGATTCTACGTTTAATTTGAAACATTTTGATATAAAGTTTCCTATATCTAAATTTAATAGTTTCTGAAATAATTGGAACTAAATAAAAAATATTGCATTTTTGTACCTGTATTTAACAGTAGCTATCCTCGTTATTTTTAAGAATTAAAACAAGATTTTTGGTACCGTGTTACTGTAAAGGTGGCTTGAGAACGTCATGGATTCAAATTTTGATTAGCACCTACAGGGTGTTCGTAAAATAATGACAGATTTGAAGAAGTTTAAACTAAAAAATCTTAATTTTTTTAAATGGAACACCCTGTATATTTTTCAATATTCCTTTAGATCTTTTAAAAACTAACAACTTTTGTTAACCATGTCCTATACCTATACTCAATACTTCTGGAGATATTCGCTTAACAGTGTAGTGGAGCATTTTTCGTGATTTTCTAATTTGGTTCGTAGGCCTGGCAAAATAGATAGTAATAAATCATAATCATATTACGTCAAATATAATAAATACTGTTTTCTTTATTTATCTTTACATTAAATTATTTAATAATTTAATTATAAAAAGAAAAATTTCATCCTTTAAATAAAATAATGAAAATAAGTAACAAATACTCATAAATTGTTATATTAGAATAACTTATAGATAATTATTACAATACACAAGAATTAACACTAAAAGATTATAGTACTTAATATTAAGCAATTACACCGAACTAACAAATATAATAATTATTAGACAAAATCTTAGCGTACTTATCACCCTGTAGAAATAGTTTTTTGATAAACTTTAGCAATTCTGAGTAAATTTACTTTAACCAATCGTTGACTCACCCTGTACAGAGGGATCCATTACCCTTGGGAATATAGTGTACGGACTAGGGTTAGTACAGCTGACACAGACACGTTTTAAAGGTTTTTAATGTTTCGAAAATCTATATGTTTTCGTCTATGAACTTTAAAGATGAAGTGAATAACACAATAGATATCATATATCTGTATCTATGGGAACAAGCAAAAGCAAACAAATTGGAATTGTCGAAAGTACTTAAAAATGAAAAATCATTCACTTTTGCAGATACTGAAGTCATATTTAACTAGTAGAAGTCAGTACGTTGTTTACAATGGCTTTAAATCTTTTGTATTTGTAGCTCCTTCCGTTGCACCTCATGGTTCCGTTCTGGGGCCATTATTATTTCATGTATTTATAAATAGTATAACTGATGCATTAGAAGTCGGTTTATGCTGATGATTTTAATATGCTCACCATTGTCAAAACCTTAGAAGATTGTAGATAGGCTTAATGCTTCAAAGTATCATTTACTGGCAAATTATTTTTAATAATTCCGGGTTCTTTATGTTGTCTTCTTTCAGAAACTAATTTTTCTTTCACATACAGGGTGTGGCTTGTATAATCTATAAAAATTAAACCACTTAATTATTAAATATTAAGCATCGTCCATCGACTCATCAGTGTTAAAAAGTGAAAGATTCCAGACAAAAGTTTCTATTTTGTAATTCCACGACAGTGCCAGTGTAATTTTTATAAAGAAGTAAAAAATAAGAATAGCGTGCGGATTACAATAAAAACGAAATTCTTATTCCCTACTTTGCTTAATTTTTCAGTTTGTGCACAAACTAGTTTTACAATGAACCGAGAAAACAACGCATTTACTATTTCCGAATATGTCGATATGGTGTTAGTGTATGGTGCAGCCGGAGAAAATGCGCTCGCGGCGACTAGGTTGTACCGGGAACTATGACCACAACGTCACCCTCCATGTGCAAATACAATCCTACAGTGCGTTCAGCGACTGCGAGATACGGGAAGTGTTACTCCTCGAGGAGAAGGACGTGTTCAGCAAGTGAACCTTAATGTTGAAGATGCTATGTTGGACAATCTTGACGAAGACCCCACAATTAGTACTCGACGACTCGCACAGCAAGTAGGAACCTCATCTCGTACCGTACATCGCATCTTAAGGCGCAGGCTATTGCACCTCTATCATCTGCAACCAGTTCAACAAATTTTACCCTCGGATTGAGATCAACGAATGCGTTTTTGCAGATGATTTTTACGGCAATGTGCCGATCAAGTAGACTTTCCTGCTTATGTTTGTGTAACAGATGTGGCGACATTTACCCGTGAAGAAGTGAATTTCCATAATATGCACATATGGGCCGATGAAAATCCTCACGCGATTAGGGAAACTCATTTTTAACATCGGTTCTCCGTAAAGGTTTGGGCTGGCATAATAGGCGATGAACTTGTGGGTCCCCATTTCTTTAAAGGACGACTAAATGCCTGCTTTTGCTTGAATTATTGGACGATGTGACATTACAAGTTCGGACACGCAGGTTTTATCTTGCAATGCATTTAAGATAGTAATTACTGTTAATTATTATAATAAGAAAATATCAGTTTTTTTTAAATATCTATTTTTCTTAGTTTTTACTTTCGCATTGAAAAATTCCACAAAAATTGAGAAATATCTTTCTATCTTTCAATGACGATTTGTTTATTCGGCTGGTCTACAGCACGTAACTCATCGTACAGCACAAGGACAGGACCGTTCCAGAGAAAATATTTTAATCCATAATTGAATTTTAAGAAAAAAAAAAAACGCAAAACGAACTTTTTCGTATAAGACTTTTCTATCGTTTGGAAGCTGTAGTTTAATTTGTATAGATTATATACGCCACATCCTGTAAAGCAACTATTGCCAGTGAGTGAGACATAAAAACTTGGAAAATCCCTTACCACGTCTTTGTTAGAAGTAAACTTGAATATCATCATTTGTTTGGTGTCTTAACTATGACTTTTGGATAAATATCCTACAAAATGTCCAACGAAGACTATTGAAACCACTACATTTTAAAACATGGTTTTTATCCACTAATGAGAGATCCTCAATGTAGTCGTCTTCTTGACCCATTTTCTATTTCCTCACTTAAGGTGAGGTCCTGGCCGAGAAATAGTGAAATTTATGGCGTTTTTAGGTACTGAAATCTTGAAAAGTAAAACGTGTAGAACAAAAGTAAGCACAAAAATAAAATCCTTGATGTTTTGTTTATTCATTGTTACCATTTAAATTTACTCAAATAAAATAATAACTAAAAAAAAAGCGTTTGTAAAACATGCGTTTTCTGTTATCCTAACCTCACATTTTAAGAATTATTTTCACGTACTTATAAATAAAAGTAAACAATTTTATATGTAGGACTAAGCATGTGGAATTATATATAAAAAAGTTAGTATTTTCGTAGATTTCAGTACCTTAAACCTTGATGGTTTGATCGTTTTTTGCACGTGTTTATTCGTTTTACTGCGGCGTCTTTTAAAATACTCAGGTGGCATTACATAACATTCCTGTTATTTGATAAGCTTTAGATTATTCAGTTATTAAATGTTTGATATTATTTGTCTTTGCGGAAAACACTATAGAATATGAGGCCCTTAATATTAGACAAGTATTTTTCCCAGGTTTTTCTTTATAAAATTGATCACAGTGATTGTCCATCTATACTGCCTAAACTAAACCTGCCACGTCCACAGGAAAATTCACGACATTGGCATTTTTAGTTGCAGCATCATATTATACAGGGTGATTCACAAATGGTGACCAGAAATGAAACCGCGTATTCTTTGATGAATTTTAAGGGGTCTTTCTCATAAAATTTTTATCTAGGACGCTTCATTAAAAATATACAGGGTGTTAAACTTTAAACTATTTTTAATTTTTTTAAATAATTTAAAAACTAGTATGTGAAATAATTTGAAATTGGGCACATGTATTTACGTAAACATTGTCCCAAATTTGGGAGCATTTCCTAAAAATTTACATGCTCCAGTGGCGGAGATTCAGGGTATGGTGGCATATTTTTCTAAATAAAATAGTACGCTAATGCTTTACGGTAACAACCATGATATTTTCGGATTTGTCTTTCAATTTTCTACAAATTACTACTTCTCTTATGTTTTACGAAAAAAGCCGCGATATACATTGATGTTTTTTATTTGTCTGTTTTTCTTCAATGGAATTTATTTCATTGATCTTTTGATTTTTTAACAGGTGCCGAAATACCCAATAAATAAGAAAAAATATATATTTGTTTATATTTAACAATTTTTGGAACCCCCTAAAACGATACGCACATGGAATCGCACTCCTTGCGCCCTTCACTCGTTGCAAGGGTCTAAACGTAGAGAATGAGCTACCGCTGAATGAGCCACCGCTTGCTATCTTGACAGTGAAAGTTAATATTTTCCATAAAGGATTGACTAAGTTCGCGAAACTAGCTAGCAGGTTTCTATCTTTAATAATAACTGAGATACCTGGGAGCACTACACACGCAATGCACTGTCCATATGTGATTATAATTTGATTTATTTTCAACGATTTGATTAAAGACTAACTTTGGTTTAATTTAATAAGTAGATAGACACAACTAACATTTGTCAAAGCAAATTTTAAAAATGTGAACGAACTTTACCTCGACCGACACTAACGCTGACTAAATTAAGAAGGCTGTGAGACACTTGAAGATACCTACTACATTATATAATACGTAGGCCAACAAGATTAATTGATACGTATGTTATCAGAGTATTTATCAGTAAGTATATAATATGATATGCAAACCGTGAAATCTACGAGTGTTTTTAAAAGGTAACAGTTTATTGACAATATTTCGTAACAAGAAGAGTTTCAATAATTTATTAACTTTATACAGGGTGTTTCAGGATTAAGTCGACAAACTTTAAGGAGTATAAATTTTTTTCCAGAGCCGCTTCATTTTCGAAATATAGGGCGTTAAAGATTTTTAAAAAAAAATCGAATTTTTTAAATAACTTCTCAATGAAAAAGGCTATTTAAGCCAAATTACGACCATATTTCATCTAAATACAGACTATCAAAAATCACAGGAAACTTTCAGAAATTCTTTTTACCCTTTAATTGTTTGCATCAGTGTAGAACAAGCAGAATGGCAACCACAAACATCTAACAAACTTTCAAGCTGTTAAGCAACATTAGGCAACATTAGGTATTTATAATTAAACTTGCATCGAGTAAATAACAATTTTATTACTGGCAATTATATAATAATAACTATAGAAAGATAGATGTTTCGTTTGGCTTATCACCTAAAGTCTCTCCAAATTTACCCAAACACCAGCCTCGGCAGTGGGCACGAATGCTCTGGTAGACAACCTCAAAGGATTCTGGGTCTTTTTGTTCAGAGTCACCCTGAAATCCTTCAGGATGCTCGTCAGCCCCACCTTGGTCTGCATTATGCCGAACCTTTCCCCTAGAAAAGAAAATATATATTATTACACGTGTAAATGTGTTACTTAACAAATAACTGCAGGTAATTCTCTTAGCTTCAACTTTATTTATTTATTTATTTAGAAATTGCAATATCCAACGGAATAAAGTCCCAATTACAGGGTGAGGTAACACAGAAAACCTTAACTAAACTTAAAAATAAAAAGACAAACTAACATTAAATATAAAGATAAATAAATTGCATAAAATAGAGCAATCAATGTATAAAATATAAAATTGGGGCAAAAGAACTTAATTATAAACAATAACAAACAAATAAAATAAATAATCTAACTAACATATAAAGATTTGCTAGACAAACTATTTTCTTATGTCATTCATAGAATGAAAAAATATATTAAGTCGATCTTCATACTTCTGGTAATTGAAAATCATTTGGTATAGGGGAGATGCTATTATTAGTAAATTGGTACTAGGTGTGACTAAATGTAAAGCAGAGTGAAATCTAGAATTAAGTCTAGGAACATGATATAAAATCGTTGAGACTAACGAGTCTGCATTTAAAGTGTTATTTATGATTTTAAAAAGGAATATAATTGAAAACATAATTCGCCTACGACAGAGACTATTAAAATTAAAACAAAAAAGCAATAAATCTTAAGGTGTAGCACGAGGAGAATAAAATCCATAACTAATAAAATGAATAGTCTTTATAAATCTCCGCTGTACTTTATCTAATTGAATATTATAAACGATATAAATGGGACTCCAAATAACCGATGCATATTCACAAATGCAAATGCAATGTATTTAGAACCTTTACGTTCTGAAAGAATTGCGCATAATAAAGCCTAAATTCTTATAAGCAGATTTGGTTACTAAACTAATGTGCTCGTTAAATGATAATACAGCCCCACAAAAAAAAAGGTTCGAATCTGGTATTCAAATCCATGTATTTCCATGTATTTATTCCGCTGAATCCGAATCTGCCTTCAGATTTGGCCCAACCGGTCTGAGTTTTCGGGAAAATTTAAAAAACCGGTCAAAATTCACAAAAAACGTATTTTATTCAACCAGCTCACTAGACGTATGATTTTTCACTCGTTTAATTTCAATTTATCATCATAGAGTCAAACAAGCTGGTCCAATTTCATTCAAAAACAGCAAATAGATCAAAATGCTTAAAAACACCATTTTCATGGCATAATTCGTGTTGCAGAGTTGTGGATCCATCTTTTTATCCACCCGTCCATTTATGAATTCGTACATCTTTCTAACCAGTCGTTCATACATGAACACGCATATTTATTCATCTACCTGTACCACCTATAAAACCCACCCATCCACCCATCTATCTATCTATTTCTTTTACTGAGAGATGAGATACTAATCTAGAAGATTAAGAATGCAATGTAGAATACTCTACTTTCTAAACAAAAGAAGACGATATCTACAAATCATTCTTATTTTTGTTGCTATAACGTGTTCTCTTTTATTCAAAGGATCTATGCAAAGGGTTAAGCTTTTGTTTAGTACCTCTATTTTTCGTTTCTCTTTGTAACAACCAACAAAAATCGGCCATCGTGTTTTCATCCTATCTTCCTTGATATCGCTGTTCTATAACCTTCATATCCCGATGAAATCGTTCGCCTTGTTCTTCGCTATAATCTCCAAGATTTTCAGGAAACCAATCCAGATATGAATGAAGAAAGTGCAACTTGTAGTTCATCATACATCCCAGATCTTGGAAGTCTTTTATTATTTTTGATACAATTTCTTCGTATTTAGGACTCTTTTTGTTTATTGCATTGTCAATCTTCTAGGCTATTATCTCATCTCTCATTACAAAAAGTAGATGGATAGATGGGTGAATGGATGGGTTTTATAGGTGGTACAGGTGGATGAATAAATATGCGTATTCATGCATGAACGACTGGATAGAAAGATGTATGAATTCATAAATATGTGGGTGGATAAAAAGATGGATCAAGAACTCTGCATCACGAATTATGCCATGAAAATGACGTTTCTAAGCATTTTGATCTATCTTCTGTTTTTGAATGAAATTGGACCAGGCTTGTCTGATAAATTCTATGATGATAAATTGGAATTAAACGAGTGAAAAATCATACGTCTAGTGAGCTGGTAGAATAATTTGATTTTTTATAATTTTGTCGATAGTAAATAACGTTTTTTGTGAATTTTAACCCGTTTTTTGAATTTTCGCAAAAACTTAAACCCGTTGGGCCATCTGAAGGCAGATTCGGATTCAGCGGAAAAAAATACATGGAAATACTTGGGTCTGAATACCAGATCCGATCCTTTTTTTGTGGGTTTGTGGGATAATCTAGTATCGATTGTAACACCAAGGTCAGTAAATTGCGTAACTCTATTTAAAAAAATACCAATTTTATAATAAAAATTAATATTAGTTTGCGTCGACTGTAAGACATTATTTTACATTTGCTTACATTCAGAGGTAGATCATTATTACATGAACACCAACTGTGTCATCTTTCGGGATTATCTTGTAATATAGTACAATCAGTAGAAGGTTTATTTTCCAACAACAACTTCAGGTCGTCCACATAAAGTAAATAGTTCACATCGAGGCATTCAGTTAAGTCATTAATAAAAATAACAAACAACAGTGGCCCCAGGGTTGACCCTTGCGAAACTCCTGACGATTGATCGAATTTTTTTGACTCACCTATACAAATTCTAGGACCTTCACCGAAGGGTATGTGCGCATAGGGGTGTCTTCCCTTCTTGTTTTCGTCGCTGAACCTCTCTGGATCGAATTTCAGTGGATTCTCGTATATTTCCTCGTCCATATGGATTCCTTGGATGGCAACCACCACCTTGGTGCCCTTTTCTATGACCACATCCTCTTGTGGTATCTTGTAGTCTTCAGCAGCTACTCTAGTTATAAACGGAACTGGAGAGTATATCCTCAACGTTTCTATATAAAAAAAACAAGTACAATATGACTTCTCATTTTATAATAACAGAACATATTTTCTAACAAGTGATCCAATTAAGCCAAAGGGAATTGACAGTGGCACCAAAAAGGCATATATTTATGATATAAATGAATTTGTTTGTTTATTGTTTTTAGAACTGGACGATGAATCAAACTGCTTCATGTTGAATGTCCCATGGAAAACATTACGCTAATTTTATCCCTTTTATATACGTAGGGTCAAGGGTATCTTTGAGAATGGGATACAGCACAGCTACAGGTAGAGGGTGTCAAAATAAAACAATTGAGAGAATTCTGCCTTGGCAATATGTTACCAAGACATTAGGTGTTTTAACTGAAAATTTTCTTTCAATTCCTTGGGACTGCTCCAAGACCGCTAAGATATTGAACTAAAAATTTATAGTAATNTGTGAATAAAGAAAGTGCAACTTGTAGTTCATCAAACATCCCAGATCTTGGAAGTCTTTTATTATTTTTGATACAATTTCTTCGTATTTAGGACTCTTTTTGTTTATTGCATTGTCAATCTTCTAGGCTATTATCTCATCTCTCATTACAAAAAGTAGATGGATAGATGGGTGAATGGATGGGTTTTATAGGTGGTACAGGTGGATGAATAAATATGCGTATTCATGCATGAACGACTGGATAGAAAGATGTATGAATTCATAAATATGTGGGTGGATAAAAAGATGGATCAAGAACTCTGCATCACGAATTATGCCATGAAAATGACGTTTCTAAGCATTTTGATCTATCTTCTGTTTTTGAATGAAATTGGACCAGGCTTGTCTGATAAATTCTATGATGATAAATTGGAATTAAACGAGTGAAAAATCATACGTCTAGTGAGCTGGTAGAATAATTTGATTTTTTATAATTTTGTCGATAGTAAATAACGTTTTTTGTGAATTTTAACCCGTTTTTTGAATTTTCGCAAAAACTTAAACCCGTTGGGCCATCTGAAGGCAGATTCGGATTCAGCGGAAAAAAATACATGGAAATACTTGGGTCTGAATACCAGATCCGATCCTTTTTTTGTGGGTTTGTGGGATAATCTAGTATCGATTGTAACACCAAGGTCAGTAAATTGCGTAACTCTATTTAAAAAAATACCAATTTTATAATAAAAATTAATATTAGTTTGCGTCGACTGTAAGACATTATTTTACATTTGCTTACATTCAGAGGTAGATCATTATTACATGAACACCAACTGTGTCATCTTTCGGGATTATCTTGTAATATAGTACAATCAGTAGAAGGTTTATTTTCCAACAACAACTTCAGGTCGTCCACATAAAGTAAATAGTTCACATCGAGGCATTCAGTTAAGTCATTAATAAAAATAACAAACAACAGTGGCCCCAGGGTTGACCCTTGCGAAACTCCTGACGATTGATCGAATTTTTTTGACTCACCTATACAAATTCTAGGACCTTCACCGAAGGGTATGTGCGCATAGGGGTGTCTTCCCTTCTTGTTTTCGTCGCTGAACCTCTCTGGATCGAATTTCAGTGGATTCTCGTATATTTCCTCGTCCATATGGATTCCTTGGATGGCAACCACCACCTTGGTGCCCTTTTCTATGACCACATCCTCTTGTGGTATCTTGTAGTCTTCAGCAGCTACTCTAGTTATAAACGGAACTGGAGAGTATATCCTCAACGTTTCTATATAAAAAAAACAAGTACAATATGACTTCTCATTTTATAATAACAGAACATATTTTCTAACAAGTGATCCAATTAAGCCAAAGGGAATTGACAGTGGCACCAAAAAGGCATATATTTATGATATAAATGAATTTGTTTGTTTATTGTTTTTAGAACTGGACGATGAATCAAACTGCTTCATGTTGAATGTCCCATGGAAAACATTACGCTAATTTTATCCCTTTTATATACGTAGGGTCAAGGGTATCTTTGAGAATGGGATACAGCACAGCTACAGGTAGAGGGTGTCAAAATAAAACAATTGAGAGAATCCTGCCTTGGCAATATGTTACCAAGACATTAGGTGTTTTAACTGAAAATTTTCTTTCAATTCCTTGGGACTGCTCCAAGACCGCTAAGATATTGAACTAAAAATTTATAGTACAGTCATTGAAGCTGAAAATCAGCTGTAACCTCCGAATTCTTTGAAACTGCATGGATTTGCATGAAAATTTAGAATAAGGCTCATCTTAGGCTCAAGATCGAAAGTGACATAAGCCCGACTGAAGCTTTTTGTTTTTTAGAGGTAAAAACCACCCCTAAGTGAAAAAAATTGAAAAAATTAAGTTTTAAGCATTTTATTGAGAAAAATCTTGTTCAAGCACAAAGATTAAATAATGTTCAATATTCTCGAACATGTTTTATGATATATTTGATCTTTTCGACCCTTTATTTAACTCTTAAAAACTACCCCTATGCAAAAAATATTGATAAAAAATTACTTTTTAAAGATTTGGAATGATTAAATCGTGCAATTATTTAAAATAAAAGTTACCTTATAGCAATAAAAGAATTTTTCCCTTTCAACCCCTAAAAACCACCCCTGTATTGACAAAACTGATAAAAAATTACTTTTTAAAAGCTTGGAATGCTTTAACGGTGCAATTATTTACAATAAAAATTCCCTCATTGCTTATGAAAGAATTTGTATCTCATAACACTTTTCAACCCTTATAACTCACCCCTGTGCTAAAAAAATGATAGAAAATTACGTTTTATATCTTGGAATGCTATAATTGTGCAATAATTTAAAATAAAAATTTCCTTATATTGTTTATGAAAGAATATTTTACTTTTGCGATTTTCAACTCTTATAAACTAGGTACCCTTTTACCAATATTAATGTAAAATATTTTTATTATAATCGATCTTTAAATATAATCAATCATAAAAAAAATTGCTACGCTGCATATAAATAATCACACTAAATTTTTTTACTTATTTTATTTGTATAATACAATATACAAATATATAAAAATGAGAAAGTCTATATTGCTCCGAAAAAATATCATTGGTTTTTTTGCCATAACTCGGTTAATTTTGAAGCTATAGTATCCTACAAAAAAGCATTTTAAAGATAATTTCAAGAGCTGTAAGATCGTTTTTATTTCGCATATAAAACCTTTTAAGGCCTTCGTTTTTTAAAGGGAAAGGATCGAAGAGCTCGAGACAGGTCGAATTTTCACTAAAATGGATAATTCAAGCGGCGATATCTCCTTTATTTTTTATGCTAGGAATAAAAAAAGCAAAATATTTGTAGAAAAAAAGCTATATTTTTGTTATCTATTATTTTTTACGTATCCTTAATAGTTTCAGAGTTATTATATGAATAAGGCAATATTTTTGGATAATGAAAAACACGTTTTCAACTTTTAAAGTACATTATTAAAAAAATACGCATTCTAAACCGGTCTAACTTCAGGATCATATGAAAAACACTAAAACAAAATTAATTGTAAAGGGTCTACAATTAATTTTAATTCTGATAGAAATGGTATAGCATTTACTGCTCATTTTTCCTTAAAAAATATAAGCAATCCATCTGTTTTTGAGGATAACTCCTTCAATTTTGCTCTAATTAACTTTTATAAGTGCTCATTTTGAAGGTCTTTTTAAGTACTACAAATATACAAGTTATACGCATAAAATTAATCCTTTTTCCGTTTCCGAGTACATCGATTCGAGTATTCTCCCCAAAACAAGTCCACTAACCATATTTCGCTTTGTATAGGACGTACAACGCATTTTAAAAAACGATTTTCTTTGTTTATTTATAAGCTAGGTACATTTTTGTTAATTACACTTTTTTAATAAAATGCGTAATTTTTGAGTTATTCGCGAAAAATACTTTGAAAAAGTGTTTTTTTCCACTCAAAATTCCAAGTTTTGAATTGTGAATAACTAAAAAACTATTGATTTCTCGAAAAAATTCTTCGAATATTTTTTGCTCAAAATTTGATTCTCTGTCGATTTTTTTGAAAAAAATTTCAACCCCCACCAGGGTGGAAGCGTCAATCGACGCAATGTCACCAATGTTCATTGACCTTCTCTGTAACTATCTGCCAAATTTCAAATCGATCAGTTCAGTTTCAAAGAATTCGGAGGTGAAAAGCTTCAATGACTGTACTATTAGGAAAATCGGTTTTTAAAAGACGATAAATTACATCACGTAAATGGTTTTCTAGTTACTAGTAATAGGGGGCGCTAGTGACGTTGTAGAAAATTACAAAATTATACTAAAACTCGCTGCCTTTTCTTTGTCTTCTGCTGTAATGGTCTTCAATTAATAAAATTCTATGAAAAGAAAACATGTTTCCTTATCATTTCACTACCACACAACAGTTATTTTTTTTATTAATAAGCATAATACTCACCACAGTTTCTTCAAAAAAAGACGAAGCTGCCTTTACTTGTTCAGGAATTTCGTTTAAAGTTTGGCGGAAATTACTGAAAATTTACATGACAGTTGGATTGGTCGTCACACGTTTCACTTTTGGCATGCTGATGAGGGCAAGCGAGTTCGAAACGGAACAACAAAATCGTAAATTTTCGGGAATTAATAATAATTAAATATTTGATAATTTGTTCATTTTAGTTTTTTAAAATTTACTTTTGTTGTCTTCTGTGAGAAGAAAGAAGAAGAAATGTATATCTTATCGACACTTTTTTTGTATTATCCTTTGGGGTTCGCAGGTGCTTAAAAATTTTGAATAATAACATATTTTTCCGTCAATTATATCCCGGATTCACGTCACTGATACTTGGAATAACTTCATTTGCTCGTTTTTCCAAGTCGCTATTTTTGACAGTTTTATCTTTCGTTGATTAAAAGATATAAACCCTTTCCAAAGTGACAGCTTCAACCCCCGTATCTCGAAAGAGCAACGACAACGAGAAAACCGTTATATAAACTACCCCGACACCACTTTTTTTGCAAAAGAACCACCTCCCAATTTTTTTTACTTTCAACTACTAACCGTCAATGACTTGCTTCATGTACTTCAGTTCGCTCAACGAATCGTAAGTCACTTGGCCATCGTGCTTCGCCAGAACCGTCTTGATTTCTTCTCTGACTCTGTCTTGTACGTCCTGGTGCTGAGCCATTTCGTAGAGAGCGAATGTCATAGTCGTAGAACTGGTCTCAAAGCCGGCTAGGAAGAACACAAAGCACTGGGCAGCGGCTTCGTCCATGGTCAGAGATTTTCCATCACCTTCAAAATGTATTACTAGTTACATATTTGGAAAACATTTGGTGAATAATTTAAAAAAATGCCAAGTGTACCAGAACTTTTTATTTTGTCGCTGGAATTAATTGCTAGGCATCCAGGAAAATGGGGGGCATATCGAAGATGTCTTGAAATTCCACCATCATCTATCGTATCTATGTAACTACCATCCAGTTTTAATAAAGAAAATTATGTGTTTCCTAAGTACGTCTTTACATTGTTTGAGTGTTAACTAAAAATAAATCTAATGAAGTAAAATGATATTCAATCCGTCGCATTGCGACAGACTTTAAAGTTGCAACCATTTTACTTTCAATATTGATATCCTAGGTAAAAGAATTGGCAATTATTATTAGAGAAAGCTGCTCCTTGTAAAAGGGCAGATTTACTGCGATACTTTTAAAATTGTTAAATCGCAACGAAACAGAAAACAATTTTTTGCGTAAAAACTATGAATGCTACAAGATTTTACCAAGATACTTACTACGATAGTAGTGATCGTAGTGAGTATTTGTTGTACTTGAGTAGTAGTGATAATGATTGTCTAAAATAGAAAAAAATTTTTGCGTAAAAACTATGAATGTTACAAGATTTTACCAAGAGCATGAAAATCTCGAAAAAGGATCGTCAATCATCAATAAAAATAAAATGAATTAATTCCAGCGACAAAATAAAACGTTTTGGTAATTCTTGTACCAAGACACTCAAGAATGTACCATTAGCCCAAGGCAGATGGACGCGGTTGCTTCATCAAAACATGAGTTTTACTTAAGTCCACAGCAAGTTTCATTAAAATCCATCGTAACATTCTCCAGATATTACAAAAACCATACTTTTTTTTCAAGAACTTTGACAGTCAATTGCAGAGGAGCCAGACATTTTTTCTTAATGGAAGTTAAGTCAAATCGTCTTCTTTCGAGCCAAAGAATATCGCAGTACCTTTTTGATCATGTGCTTATGGGGCACCCTGTATACAGGGTGTTAAAAAAAGAGTGTAAAATATTTAAGGAGGTAATAGTATGAACCAAAATAAGCAGAAAAGTCTCAATAAACATGGGTCCGCAAAGTAACGGTTGCGGAGATATGGAATGTTTTATGTTTTTTAGCCCCTTTTTTTATTTTGCAAAAACGTTGTGTATTTTCTTATAATAGTTGGTTGATGTTTAGTGAAATAAACAGTACGTATTTGACAGTTGTTCTCAGTGCACAAGTTTTCTTTCGCTATGGCTGGTTACTCTAACGCAGAATTAACAGACATGCATTTCATGTATGGTCGTGCTAATGGGAACGCCACCGAAGCGCGACGTCTTTATGTTGACGCTTATCCAAATCGCCAGATTCCTTCACAACGCATGTTTGGAAGAATTCACCAAAGATTGCGTGATACCGGTTCCTTGAGCAAACAGTGCCATTTATCCGGAAGACCAAGGTCGGTATCCACTCCTAGAGCAGAAGAAGAAATTCTAGCACTGGTAGAGCAGAATCCAGGTACGAGTGTGCGGAGAATATCAGCCGAGGTAGGAATTAGTGGTCCTCTTGTTTGGAGAATCCTTCACGAGCAACTGCTTTATCCATACCATGTGCAACGAGTACAGGCCTTAAATCCAATAAATGATCATCAAGCACGTTTGGTTTTTTGCCGCTGGTTTCTACGTCATGATGCTGAAGACCCTCGTTTTCTTGCAAACATTCTTTTTACTGATGAGGCCGGGTTCACAAGAAATGGAGTGTTTAATTTTCACAATACGCATATTTGGGCCGACGAAAATCCTCATGCTCTAATAGAATCTGGACATCAGGCACGTTTTTCATTAAACATTTGGATGGGTATTGTAGGTGACAGGTTTCTAGGTCCTGTTGTTTTACCAAACCGATTAACAGGCGCTGCTTACCTCAACTTTCTGCAGAACACACTGTATGAGTTTTTGGAAGACATTCCTTTGAATCAGAGGCAACAAATGTGGTTCCAGCATGATGGTGCTCCAGCTCATTTTTCCATGGCCGTTAGAGAGCATTTACACCAAACTTTTCCACATAGATGGGTAGGAAGGGCCGGACCTGTTTTATGGCCTCCAAGATCGCCTGATCTGAACCCTCTAGATTTCTTTGTTTGGGGATATTTGAAGACATTAGTGTATGGTACTCCTGTAAATAGCCTGGAAGAGCTGCAGCTACGGATTAATCAAAAGTGTCAAGAAATCCAAACCAAGGAGGGTGTTTTCGAAAGAGTTCGAATATCGTTGAGACGAAGATGTCGTGCCTGCTTGGAAATGGACGGAGGGCACTTTGAACATCTTCTGTAACTTTGTTTTTTGTTTGTTAAAAGCTTCCTCTGTCGGTTTATTCCTAATAAAATAAAATGTTTGAAAAACGAAACGTTTGAAATTTCCGCAACCGTTACTTTGCGGACCCATGTTTATTAAGACTTTTCTGCTTATTTTGGTTCATACTATTACCTCCTGAAATATTTTACACTCTTTTTTTAACACCCTGTATACATACTGTACAAAGATCTTTGATGTTGATCTAGGTACTAATTTGAATAGTCAATTTTCGATCGCCGGTAAAAATTCAAAAATCGTCAAAGCTTAAAGTTGAAATAAAAAAAAGTAAAAATACAAATCTGATAAACATCCGAAGAAATTTTTTTCAAACTTGGCACTCTATCATTGCTAATGACTACCCAAAGGCAATCTCAATAAAATGTCGTCAATCTTCGTACCTTTGAATCCATCCTCATTGGATGATTTGTTGTTCATGATCTCGATGAGCAACTGGAGGAAGTCGTTCCTCGCGTAGTTGTTCTTCTGTCTGTAAGCGATCGTATCGTTTACCACCTTCCTGAAGAAGGAGCTTACATCCCTCCGTATAGTCGTGATTTTCAGCTTCCTCGCGAGCTCGGGGAAGTTATCGGCAATCGCCAATTCGATAAGGTCCAACGTGGAGACTTCGAAAGCTTCTCGACCGTATTTTCTGAAGGGTGAGTTCGGGTCTTTGAAGCTGTTGCACTCTAAGCCGAAAGCACAACTACCGATGATGTCCGTCGAGAATTTACCTAAAACATACAATGGTTATCCAGTTGTCACATGGTAAAACCGTAAAGTAACCGTACGGTATTTGGAGAGTATGTGGATTCTTTCATAAATGTTTGGAAAATTTTGATCAAACCTTCAATGAGCGTCATATGAGGCGCAGTTTCCCCCGAAACAATAGGAATTCATATACAAATCATCGTAGAGAACCTACTACATAGATCGGAAAACGCAGGTCGGGAAAACATGTTTATCTGCTCCCACTATAGTGAATAGACTATTAATACATTGTTTTTAAGGAGGTAAGTGGATTTTACCGTAGAAGTGGAAGTTGCTATGGACAACTGGAGGTAAGTGAAATAACTTGCCTCACTAGGGAAAAAAGTGATTTGGAGTTATAGGGTGTTTCAGGATTAAGTCGACAAACTTTAAGGATATTCCTCATAAAAAAATAAGAAAAAATCAAGTATAATTTTTTTTCCAGAGACGCTTTATTTTCGAAATATAGGGCGTTAAAGATTAAAAAAAAATCGAATTTTTTAAATAACTTCTAAATGAAGAAGGCTATTTAAGCCAAATTTCGCATGGCACATCTTCTTATAAGATACCATTTTTCCAGAGAAGTAGAAGTCCCGCAAGCAACCAGTGGCGGAGTTATGGGGACTCAGACTCATTGAATTATAAAAAAAAATTAATACGGCTCTACTGAAAATAAAAAATGATGCTGTTTTAGATAGAACAGTTTGTTATTGACAAAAAGTGTACATTCACTTTTTTCCTAACTCTTATTGTTTCATGGCAAAATTGACTCTTCAGAAGGGTGCTTCTGGATTCTGTCGATAAACTTTAGGAAGATGTTCCTCATAAAACCTAAACAAATATAGTACCTATTAAAATTATGGTCTTAGTCCCGAGTATGTGTGAATCAAATAAGCCTTTTTGTCTCCCCTTCCCTTGGGTTTAACCAATAGTATTAAAATTATTTAGGAGATGCTTCGTTTTTGAGATATAGGGTGTTTTTTTTTTAGAAAAAAAATGCTGTTGATGAAAACAATAGAAATATTAAAGTACCTAACATCTATTGTGGCTATGTCGTAATGCGACAACGTATTGACCCTTGCAATACTACTAATTTTTTTCAGGCGGTTTGTAGTCACTTCATTTACTTGTGTTGTGTACTTTTAAATAAAATAAGGTGGCGAACAATACATGAAAATTTATTTGTAAATTGAAACAACCAAAAAATTACCAATTAATATTATACCTAAACAAAGCGAAAAGTGAATCAAAAATGAAATGTTTTAAAAAATATTTTGTTCAAAATGGGCGGCGCCTCCGGACTGTAGACAAGCACGACATCTTCTAATTATGGAGGTAGTGGCCGATCGACACTGAATTGGAGTTAATTCTCGACACGCTTGGGCTATTCGCTGTCTTAGATCTTCTAGGGTATCAACTGGCACCTCGTAGACTTTTTGTTTAACACCACCCCAAACGAAATAATCCATCAGTGTCAAGTCCGGTGAACGTACAGGTCCTCCACGACCAATCCTTCTCCTGGGATAATTAATGTTTAACCATTCCCTAGGACCTCTACCAAAATGGGCAGTACAACTATCTAGTTGAAACCAACTGTTCATTCGAGTATTACGCAGAACATCTTCAAACAGATCTTGAAAACCATTTTCAAAGAACTCGGTAAACATGTCAGCATTTAACCGATGCGGAAGGAAGTAGGAACCAACTATAGTGTTGTTCAACACACCCAACCATACGCTACAATGGAATTCATGCTGAAAACTACGTTCCCTTACCGCCCGTGAATCCTCGTAGGACCAAATATGGTTGTTCCTTTGGTTTAAAATTCCCTTCGAGTAAATACCTCATCTGTCCACATTACTTTTTGCGTAAACTGATCATTATTCTCTGCTTGGTTTAACATTCAGTCACAAAACATGCGCCTGCATCGTATGTCTTGAGGAAATACATGTTGCACACGCTGGATATGGTAGTTAAGTATAATTTACCAGTCTCGGACTCGATTGCCAGCCCTCGCTCCGCTCGGGCGCAAAACGTCCTCGACTGCTAAATAATATTTACCTCTTTTATGGTATAAATAACTAGTGCTTTTATTATGAAAATAAATAATTGATATCTCACCTAAGACTTCCTTAACGTCCAACCCCTCCACATTGTCGATGTGACCCTCAACGTATTTTTCAAGTACTTCACCACAGCTGACCAGAGTGCTGAACATGGTCTTCATTTTGCCGGATGTAAACGTTGGTGACATTTTTACCCTTAGATTCCTCCACCTCTGACCACTGAGGGCAAAGAGATGGCAAGCTAAAAAAACCGATTGCATTATTGAACAAACCACGATACCTGTGAGCTGTTCTTACTTAGAGGATCGTCCTTCTCGTTGGTATATACCCCTCTGTCTACAAAGTTGTTGAAATCTTTCGTCAAAACTTGCTTTACTATGTCCAGATCGATGAGGACTAAGTTCACTTGCATCATGTTGTAAATTCCGCAGACTTTCAAACCTTGAACAAGATTTGAAACCAAAATATTATTTACCAAAATAACACAAACCAACAGAATTTTAAACCAGAATTCTTATGTCAATTCAAAACGTCAGTTCAGTATCGATCTGAATGAAATAAATCCTTAAAATAGAATTCACTGTACTGATAATGATTACGAAGTAATTCTCTTGAATCTATGAATGTATCAACATTTTCCGAACCGAAATATTTCGCCTTATTTGAGCTCACCTCTGCGTTTTGCTTCTAAATGTATATCGCGCATCTCTTCTCCGACGGACACAGTTCGCCAGAAAGGCTTTTCTACATTTCCCCAAGGTGCTGCGGGCTCCAGATAGGGTAGGTTCCTCCTCTTCCAGTACTGGTAGAAGTGCAGGATGTAAGCATAGCCTACTACGAATAGCGCGGTCACGACGGCTAGCAAGCCCACTAGGTAGGATCCAAAATATAACGCCATGCTGGAAAAAATTCAATGATGATATCTTTCTTACTTTCTGAGTATTTTTTTATTATATTTTGGTTAGATGGTACTGTTATGTCAATTATGTAAGTGGTTTGTTATGTGCGATTGTTTTGTTAGTGCGTATAGTTAGATCCCAAAATAATTTATATTTATTCTCTCATATTGTTCGTGGTGCGTATGTAACGAGCGTTCAAATAAAAACGTGGTCAAGTTGGTTCTGAACATTTGGACGTAGGGCGTAGCGTATAGCAAATTAACTTAAACGTCATCTGTCAAAGCGCTATATCGCCGCTATAAATTTGAATATTTTCGTTTTAAAAAGCGTTTAAAATGGTGTTTTCTCAAGAATAAAAGTCCTACTTTAGAAATGGACGCAAGAATGATGGAATATGGAAGTATTCTATTGAGGAATGTTTCGTAGAATTTCAAAATCAATTTCCCGGCGTTGTTGAGTACAAAATTTTTCAAAGTGCAGTTCAGCTTGTGTTAATGTTTTTCGTGAAACGGGCAGTGTAACAAGAAAAGAAGGAAGCTCCCGACCTAAAAAGCGGACTGAAGAATTAAAAGAAAATGTCCAACAAATAATGGAAAATGCGCCAAGAACTTCTGTACGTGTTTTATCACAAATGGTGGGAGTATCAGTCGGTACCTACCTGCCACACAGTGTTAAAAAAAGATTTGCGTCTGTTCTCCTATCGTTTAACTTGTCAGCAAGAACTTCATGAAGTTGATTCTCCGCGACGGGCTGTATTTTGTGAATGGTTTTTAAACAACTACGGTGAACTTCATAATATCACCTTTTTTTCTGATGAAGCCTGGTTTCATTTAAGTGGTTACGTAAACTCACAGAATATGAGAATGTGGTCTTCTGAAAAACCAGATAACTTTTTTGTCGAGGGCCCTCTACACGCTCAAAAAATTGGAGTTTGGTGTGCTCTCAATCGAAGGAGGATTTATGGACCTATTTTTTTTAATGGTACTCTTACTGCGCAAAGGTATAGAGAAGAAATTATCGTTCCTTTTGTTAACCAGCTGGAAGAAAACGAAATTACAAACTTTCAAGAAGATGGCGCAAGGGCACATACTGCAGGCGAGACGATGAATATGTTGAGGGAAGTTTTCCAAAATCGACTAATAAGTCTCAATGCTGAACATGAATTTCCACCGAAGTCATGTGATATTACGCCGTGTGATTTCTTTTTGTGGCCTTACCTTAAAAACACTATTTTTGAACTGCCTATTCCTGATTTAAACCATCTGCAGGCTCGATTTATAGACAAGATTCGTGAAATTAACAATACCCCGAGCATCTTAGAAAATGTCTTTAATTCTTTGAGGAACAGGTGTAAAAAGTGCTTGGAACAAGGAGGGGGACACTTTCAGCAGCTGCTTTAATTTATTGTTATAACAAGGAGGGGGACACTTTCCGCAGCTCCTTTAATTGTTTGTTATTGTTATCACGATTATTCTTTAAAATAAAGTTATATAGTCATTAACGTTATTGAAACTGACAGCTGCTATACAGCTCGTTGAGAAATGAGGTTAAGTTGGTCGCTATAAGCTACTCCCTACGTCCAATGTGTCAGAGCCAACTTCGACCACGTTTTTATTTGAACGCTCGTTATAATATGGATATGTGTATTTTTGTTGCTGGTATTGTTATGTTATTACCTGACGTACAATTTTAGCTAATGTATAATGCCTATTTGAATACTCAATATTTGCTATTAGTTTACAAGCCTATATTATATGATATATTGTTTCAGCAAATAAATGGCATTTCTGTATTTATTATTTGTGACAGTATCGTCCTTAAGTAGTGTATTAAACAAGTTTAGAAAATCAAAGCATATGAGTTTAGTGGAACTGCTTTTCTTACGAGATTTGTTTGTACCATTTCTTCGCATTTTGTGTTAGTAGGTATAAGCAAATATTGATAGATATAAAAGCATTACAAAGTTAGAAATTTAAAGACTTTCATAGTAGTTACTTGTGTAGGATTTCCGTAACCTAGTAACCTGACACGGCTTTAATATAGTAACGGTTTAGTATTATCCAAGGAAAAATACGAGAAAGTATATGAAATATTTCGTAAGTGGACAAAAAACGCACTGAGATCCGATGAAAGTGTAATGTTAGCGTATTTTTTTTAAGGTAAGGTATTTTTTGTACATATTATAGTGTTTTTCGCACAATGTTTTTCTTTATTTTAGGCAAAATCTCTCAGTTTATGGTCCACATATTCCATGTTGAAAAGTACTATACAACTAACGCGAAAATATGGATTTATGACAATATAAAAAGGTATTCGCCTTTTTAAAACGTGTAAATAACACATACGAAGAAGCAAAGAAATCAAAAGTTTATTTTTATATTTTTATAGCTAATAGAAGAATTTTTCCCTTTCAGCCTCTAAAAACCTCCCCTGTATTGACAAAAATTATAAAAAATTGCTTTTAACGGTGCAATTATTTAAAATAAAAATTCCCTCATTGCTTATGAAAGAATTTGTATCTCATAACACTTTTCAACCCTTATAAATCACCCCTGTGCTAAAAAAATGATAAAAAATTACGTTTTAAATCTTGGAATGCTATAATTGTGCAATAATTTAAAATAAAAATTCCCTTATATTGTTTATGAAAGAATATTTTACTTTTGCCATTTTCAACTCTTATAAACTACCCTTTTACCAATATTAATGTAAAATATTTTTATTATAATCGATTTTTAAATATAATCAATCATAAAAAAATTGCTACGCTGCATATAAATAATCACACTAAATTT